CTAACAGTTGCTTTCCATAGAATGGTGCAGCAGGGAAAGGAGCAGGCAGACTTTGCTGTGGTTAATCCTGAGAGACTCATGGGAGCAGTTGGAAGGGCATGAACTTGAGTGAACTGACCTAAGGGGAAATTTAAGGGCTTATATTAGTTTTTGGCAGCTTTTTCTTTTTGAGAGGAGCCTGGAGTGAGACAGAGATGTCTGGGTGTGCAAGAGGTATAAGCACAATCCTATTAGAACTGTCTTCCAGATGCTATCACCAGCTAAGGGATGCCAGCTTCTCAGGCTGGTGATGGGCCAGGACAGATGGCAGCTTTCATCACAGAAAGCAGGGACAAAGAGCAGTCCCAGTGCCCACAACCACGTACAAGACAAGAGCCTCCTGCCACCATTGCTTTCTCCCAAATATCTGATATTTTTTCCTTGCAGCATTTGAGAAGTTGTTAAAACCTGAGAAGTGCATGCAGAAGAAACACCTTCCACAAGGGGTTTTGCTCCAGTGGAGTAAGGGAGGGAGGGTGAGTGGAGGCTAGCTGCAAAAAAGGAATGTGTCCTCGGTCTTCTAAGGCAAAGTTGTGACAACAAGGCTTTCTTTCTAGTGATTGCAATGGTTTCACTCAAGTCTGAGCAGAAGAAATTTGATCCAATATTTTTAACAGTTCAGATGTGAACAAACTTGAGCCTAGAGCCCCTACCACTAAAGACTAGGTCAAGCAGATTTAGTTTCCTTTGGTCATTGAGCAGCTGGAAAGAATGAAGCAACCTGTCATGTATTCTTAAGTTGTGATTAATGAGACACATGTGTGATGGCTTCAAAGTAAGATGAGACTTCAACAACAAACAAACTAACAATCATTGCAGGAGAAATGTCTTGTGAGTGGCACAGAGAGGTGGACCTGTGTTGCTCTCACTCACCATGATAACACGTATGTTTCCCTAGCAAAAATTGTGAAGGCAGTGTATTTGATTTCATGCACTCCCAGTAATTTTAAACTCTGTGGCCTTAAATAACATTGGCCCTAGTTTACTGACATGTCATTTGTAGCTGATGCACCCTGGGATTCCTCAATACACAACAGAAAGGGCAGAAATAGTGTGTGACTACAGGTTTCATCTCTGTGATTCCTGACACAGTGCTACCTGAATGTGTTGCTTTTATGTGTATTGTGTAAAGTTTTTGTAGCTTTTGCTGAGCAAGTGATCAGAGACAGCTGTGAGTGTTTACAGGGAAACATGAGATGTGACAATGAGGAGGAAGGGGCTTCAGGAAGTCCCTAAGCCACTGGCTGCTGAGATGGTATATGAAGATCAAGAATCACTCCATACCTAGCACGTTTCTTATGCTCTTTCCATAAGCTTCTATTATTAAGATGCAGGATAGTTGTTTAGATGAACCACTGAACTGACTTGGAGTAGCCATTCTTTTGTCCTTATTCTGTAAACATGCTGTGCTCAGGAGATTGTGTGGCATGGGTAAGTGTGTTCCAGTAACATGGTTTTGTGACTTCAATTTCCTTGCATTGTATTTTTCCCTGGAGGGACCATGCTAATGCTGCTAGAGTCTGCAGGAATAGATGGCTAACCTCTTCCAGTGTTTTTGAAAAACTGTGTAGACTCTTTGCATCTTCAGGCATGTAATTCCTTTGGAAATCTGGCTCTTGAACTCAAGAGCAGATATGCTTTTTTGGCTATTTGCTTAATGCAACTAGAACATTTACAAAGAGCTCTTCTGAAAAACAAGAAAAAGAAAAAAACCACACCTTTAGCTTTAATTTCCTTGTACATCTGAATGAACAGAGCAATCAAGAGATGCAGGGCTTTGGGCAATACCTTAGAAGGTAATTATTCAATTATTTTATGTCATGTTTGCTTCATTGATTAATGATTCTAGTGGCTGGTGAACTGGATTCTGTTCTATTTTGACAGAAAAGGAAAGGTTTTATTTAATCTATGATAATTTCAGGCTGCTTTGTGTTTCAATGCAAGACCGTAGGTACAAGACTGTCCTGGTGGGGGTTCTGTAGTACACCTCTTTGTCAGATCTTTATTACCCACCCGGAATAAAATGAGCCCTGCTTTCCCAATTGGAACAGCTGACTCAGCCCAAGGGCTCTAGTATTCCTAACAGTGCAAATGTGTTTAATTCTGTTGGGGGATATGACATCAAATTGAAGAAATGGATTTGGCACTGGTGACTGTTACTGGTTGGGTAGTACGAAGACAGAATGTACTGGGGCTTAGAGTTTAGGGTTTGAGAAAGAGAGGTACACGGTCTCTCCCCTCTCAAGGCCTGCTAACATGCCGGTCCTGCCTTAGGTGGAGTAACAAAGTGATTATTTGTGCCAGACCATATTAGTGATTGTGACCAGGCCCCCTTCACAATCCATGTGCCTCCCAAAACCACACACATGATCTCTGGCACATGGGCAGGGTTTGCTGAGGTGGATTTCTTAGAAGTCTGGATTTCAACTTTGTGTCCATTTAGCTATTTTACACAACTGCCTGATGTTTCAATATTCAGTTACCTTCCTTTTGGGAAGAAGTGATCTTTGTGCTATTTAATTACTTCAGGAAACCCTGTGGTTTGCTAATGTGAGCAGAATTCCCCAGTATTCTCAGTGCAAGCATACATGCCTCTAACCATGTAATGGTACAGATATACACAGGCAGTCTAGTTCAGAGAGTTCTGTGGTTGGCATATCCCCACAGAGACAGGCATTCCTGTGGGATCGGCAGGAGAGGTGATGGAAAAACGCTAGCTTCCTCTTAGAAATAATTTAGAGGGGAAAGAAAAAGAGATTGAAGGGATTTTAATGAAAAATTACCCACAGAAATCTTTCAGGGTTGTTTTTTTTTTTGTTTTCAGTCTGGGTTTAAAAAACATTCTGTGCCTACTATGTGACTTTAAAATGAAACCCCCTATTTTGCTGGTAAAATAATTGCTTTTCAGTAAAAAAAAAAAAAAAAAAAAAAAAAAAAAATTAAATGTAGAAAAAAGATTTTATTTCAATTATTTATGAATTTATTATTTATGTTATGCTGGCATCCAAGACTGAAAGCTTGTGTAGCAGTGTGGGTCTGTTTCAGCTGACCTGAGTTAGCCTATGTGTATTTTGAGATAGAGGCAAGGAAGGTTGTAGATTTGATTCCAGAAATTGTGTGGTAAGAACAAAGGCAAAAAAGCAAAGGAGAACCATACCTACTAGACATACGACTGTGTAGACTTTACATGATCCAGTAGAACCGATGCTATTTCTGGTTCATTTTTGCATGCATAAAATATAATACAGGACCCTTGTTCTTATGAAGTTTGGTAGAGGTAAGATCATTGAGATTTTAAAAGAAAAAACAGACTTTGTCATACATCTCATACTTCTCAATCAGTTCTCTCAAGAACATTGCACTAGATTTCTGAACCAGCAAACTTTGTTATGTAATTGCCTCTCAGATCTAATCCCTCTGTATGCAGCCCTCTGGTCCTTGGAGCTTCAGACGGACTCAGCTTACAAAATTTTACACGAATTTCTGGCTTGTAGGTAGTTCAGGATTGTCTTGTTTTGCAGGGGGAGCTCAATAGTGAGCAGTTTTCTTAGTATGTAAGGTAGTGTTAGTGTTTTAAAATTTTGGAAGCATTGGTGTTTGTTGTAGTATGAAAATTTGAAGGGATCTTTGCAAATAGAGGGTGCTTCATCTGAGACTGGGCTTATAGGCTGATGCTTAGGTCCTACCTCCTTCCCTGGGAATGTAGGATATACTGGTTCAAAGTTCTGGTCCAAACTGGGCACAGCAGTGGGTTGACCTTGATCCTCCCAGTTGACTGCACTAACCAGTGGACTGCTCTTTTGGAGCTGAGTATATATAGAAGAGCGAATCGACAGACAAGAAAAATTAGGAACTTCATGCCTCTAAACATTAGGGAAATTCTTTACAAAGAATTACTGTTTGATTTAAAATCAGAACTTTAAGTTTCCTGCAGCCCACACAATTTTCCAGATTGTTGGGCTTTTCTGGTCTCTATATTGGTCCGTTTCCTTTCTATACCATCACTCAGACATTGAAACTGTTCCAGAAAAAAGGCTTTTTCTTCTTTATCAAATCTGGTCAATTCCCAAGAAAATTTTCTATGAACTGACATATATGACTGAAGAACTACTTTGTTGAAAAATTCCCAATGCTTCTAAACTGTGGGTTAGAAATTCCTCTATTTTAAGGGCCAAGTTAATTTGCTCAGGAGAAAGAAAAAGAAAGTGAGTCTTAGGATGCCAAGGGAGGTTTTTTAAACTATTCCAGAATGTTTAACTAAATCTTTAAGACAACTAGAATCATAGATTCATATATTTTGATTAGCCTTCTGTATAATATAGGATGTAAAAGTGCCAGTGCAAGTTTTATGTTACTGAGATTTCAATCCTTTGTATGCTGATCCAGCTGACCATGGTGAGATAGATACCTAGAATATTAGATCCTTTCCTCCCTCCTTGCTCCCTGGGATCCCTTTGTAGGATATTTTCAAGTATGTATTTCACTGGGATCTAAATAAAAGTATTTGCCTTTCACTGTATTCTAAATATACATATATTTATTACATGCCACTGTTTTTCTGATTTGATGCTGTGTAAGTCAATTCCTTCCTCAGGGCTTCAACCCCCTGCCTGTGTAGTAAGTACTGCTGTCTAACAAAGTTTTGCAGTGATAACTCCTGTAACATTTGCAAGCTCTTCATTTTCTGTAGTGATGTTGCTAAACATAGCCACAGATAGATGAGGAAGTAACAGATTTACTGGGGGAAAAGAGCGTAAGACCCTCCCACTACTAGTACCACAGAGGCGGGCACTATCAGTCATATGGTGATTTTGTGGCTGCATCCCTATAGACCTGCTGATCAAGATGGCAGCTGTTTTGGTACAAATATATGTCGTTCTGAATCATTGGGTCTTGCTTCCTGCTGTCCCTGTCTCCTGTGTTACCCACTCCTGGCTTCATTATGCTTGCTTCCATACTAGGTCACATTCAAGTGCTCTGTGGCAGTTGTGCAGGGGCATGCGGCATTGGAAGGAGTGCTGCTTTTCGGCAAGGAGCACTTTTACATTTGTGAGTGCTTTGTGTTATCTCCTCTAGAAGAAGTCTACTGTACACGTCACTGCTTGTCCAGGTGAGTCATTCTTTCCTCCCAAAGATCTGCTTGGTTAACTTCAGTATTGACACATGAATACCTAGAACTTTCACAGACTTTGAGGGAATTTCAAGAAGGATATTAGCACAGCAAGAAGTTTCCCATTCTTTCTATCTATTCATGGAATTGTTTAACATAACTAACACAGGTGCTTGTTCACAGGCTTTGGAGGTGCAACAAGAACTCCCAGCTCCAACAGATGGAGATGGTGGGCAGTCTAACACATTGCTGTTTTTCAATTCTTTTAAAGTGTTGTTAATGTTTCTTTCTGATTGGCTCCCATCTTTTATTCATATGGAACAGTCATTACAAGAGCCTTGAGCTTCATTGTCTTGTAAACTTTTTGTTTCTTTCTCCAAGACAGAATCATAATTAATATTTGGCACACTGCTATCATCTTTGACTCATGATTTATTGAGACTGATCAATATTGAAAATGAGCCTGTTAGACTTAGCTCTTTGCGCATACTGTGTGCTCATGTGCAAAGCCCAGTGGGACAGTGAGTAACTCAGTGGTTTTACTCCCTGACTGTCTGCTCTGCATCCGATTCTTACTAAGTCCAATATCAGTCAATCTGATCAGGTGACTTAAGGATCGATTGGACTGGGTCCAATAAAAGCTTAGGTTGTTTTTCTAAGGGATTTGCTATGGACTAGGCTGTAGATAACAATTGCAGTGCATGTACATGACTAAAGTAATAACGAATTAATTGCTTAATTATTAGTTCCAATTAATTGCTGTTTATAATAGCTGTGTGTCCATATGATGCTTGCCCTTGCCCCAGGCTTTCAGGTTCTCCCACCCAGCTCCTTCCCTTGCTGCTTCTCACACTTTAGTGTGTGCAAAACTTTGCTGTCTGCCTGTTTGCATGCACTAAAATAATTCCAAACCTACCCTTAGCCTCCACAGGCTCTTTAATTTATTTTGGGAACTAGTACAAAATCTGCCTTCACTATTTAGCTTTGTTTTCAATTCATGTATGCCCCAGTTGATCTTGCTATCTCATAGTATTTTTATTCTTCTTTGGGGAGGGCTTGGATGTTCGTGATGGCTCTCCTGATCTTTTTTGTTTCAAGTTAATTTTTCTTCCTTTATATTTTTCTCTTCCAGCATCAGTGATACATTTATTTTCAACTTATGTCATAAAGATCATGCTGTGGGAGACCAGATGTGTTCCCGTTATTCGTATCATGATATAAAAGAGATTCACCTGATGCGCTTTCTTCTGCAGGTAGGAGCTAACATGCTCAGTCATTTGAGAAAAAGCTGCAACAGCAGTGATGACATGTGACTGAAAACTACTTCCACAATTTTTACTAAGACTGCTGAGATTTACTTGAGTCCCAAAATGCCTTTGCTCCCATCATTGCTTCATTAGCCTTTGGAATACAAACTCCTTCCTATATTCACCAGGGTGTTTAAGCACCCTCACTGGAGTGGTTGGCTTATTAGTTGTTAGGCTAACAATGTTCTTCACAGTTTATCTCAATGTTTTTGAAAATAAGACTTGAAGTCAATATCCTGTGTTTTGATGGAAGCTCCCAGTAAGTGTCTGACTTTCAGTAATACTCAGCTCCCACAGACTTCAGTAGTTTTGGACACCAGTGGATTATGGGTATGTGTAACATTCTTACCCTGGGCCTCTTGCAATAACTTCCAAGTTGTGCATGTGAGTCAATAAATGAATCATAAGTCAGAGCAGAGGATTTGAATCCTCTGTGCCTTTAGCTGTGCTACCCAGAAGCTACTCATCACCAGTGGTGTGGTACCCTTTTAGTTTTGTCTGGTTTAGATGGGCCTGTGATGAGAATCACAGAAGAGTTGTAGCTAGAGCTCCTTGCAGCACCAGGGCCTGTGCTTGCTCTAGAGGGTTTTGGTACAGTCTAAAGAGTAATTCACAGATTTTGTCTGACAAAAATATGGCATTTTGAAGCAGCTACAACTGGTTAACTGTTATTTTGAATCCATTTTTGGAAGGTTGAGATTCAAAAGAGAATTAAGAAAACATTCAGAAAATTCAAAGGTTGGAGAAAATGGGGCTGATTATTGTCTTATGTCATGTAGTATGGCACTCATGACTCAGGCCTGTTTTATTTTATATTTAATTATGTATGCAAAATGGACAATTTTATTAGGTGAGACTTGCTTCAAGATATAGGATATCTCAGTGGTTAGGTCACTTTCCAAGCATGTATAGGAACATTAAGTCTTGTTCTGAGTAACTGTATGAAGCTTATTTTCTTATATCACTGGTGAGCAACCTGAACAACAGAACTGTCACCTCTCCTGTTTTGTGAATAGCATCAAAGTTGCCAGTGGAATCTTGCTGCCTTCTCATATATTCAAACGTCTCTGTATGCATGGATTTTTTTAAACATGTGAAATGGAAATGTTTTGTGTGACCCAAAGTGAAAAATGGAGATGAGTAAAAACAGTCTTTCTTTGAGTGGGCTTGGGGCAAAGGCGGGGCTTGTTGGTTTGAGGGGGTTTTGTGGTTTCTTGGTTGAGGGGGCAGTTTGGTGTTTTTGTTTTGATTTGATTTGTTTCAATTAACAAACTGAAAACTCAGGTATCTGTATCAGGCTCTCAAGTTCTTGCACTAGGACTCCATGTCATAAACTGCTTTGAAAAAAATATTGCCGAAAAAGAAGAAAACTGATTCCTTGCACTTTCCCTGCAGGACAGGTGGATCAGCTGTTTGGGCAGCTACTGTGCCTCAGAAAGCTATCTCCTGTTCGTGCACATAGCCCAGCTCAGAGCAAAGCACTGTGAAACCACATGGCCCAATTCTGTAATGATGACGCTTGAGCAGACTTGGTTTGGGAAGCTGAGCTTCAGAGCAAACACTGCAAGCTGTTTATTGTCATAACTGCTCTCATATTACCTTTCTGATTATACTTTATTTGTGAATCATGTATGGGGCAGTTGCCATTGAGATGTTTTTCTAGGTTTGTATTGCACCCGCCATGTTTGGATCGAAATTCATCTCTGGGGTCCCCAGACACTACGTCATTTGTAGTTTTACTTGACTGACTTTGGGGAAAAAAGAGCCACTCAGTGAGTAAATAATAGGATTATATGCAAATGTCTAACACATTAATTGTGTGGAGACCTTGCAGAAAAAAGGGGGTGAAGTTTTCAACTTTGATTGTTTAAAGCTTCAGTGAGAAGTGTCATAAACTCCCCTTCCTCCTCTGCTGCTTCTTGTCAGGAGAAATTATTTTGGCATTTCTGTTGAGCTCACTATTCATTTAGAAAGCAGTACGGTTGCTTTCCAAAAGAAACTCTTATTTAGCATCCCCTCTTCATGTTATCTTTCTCACCTGATCAGAAGTGAATACTACTAATGTCTTGTTAATCACACTGAGATTTCAAGATAAAAATGCTTCAGAAGCAGCAGAAGGAGGTGGGTGGCGGAACGGATATCTGGGGTTTGGGTTTGCTTCAGAGAAGCATTTGAACTCCTAGTCAACCCAGCAGGACCATTCCTACAGTTGGAGAAATTGGGAATATTAGGCATATTTTGCTATAGTTCTTCACACTTGATACAATGTCAAGGCCTGTTTTTTTTAAAGCCCTGAAGAATTGGACAGGCCATGATGGACTCTTTGCAGCACTAGGCTTTGCTCTGCAGCTCTTCACACTGTAAATGGTTTATCTTTCCAGGAGATTGCCTTGGAAATATGCTTCAAAAATGGTTACTCCAGATTTCTTGTCTTCCATGACAGCGACAGAAATAAGATATTTAAGAGGTAATCACTACTTCATAATAACATGTGAACACACAGGTGACACTCCTGGTCTATTGCCCCTATTTATCCTGGTTTCAGATGTCTGTCTTGTGCTGCCCCAGGGGCTTTTTCTTCAATTGCAGGCCCTTGGTCTTTACTGGGTTACACTTAAGCAAAGCTATGAAATTTTCCTTTTGCTGACCTGTGAATTCTTCGGAGCATTATATATTGATTTATCAAGGGAGCTAGTGCATGCGTTCTAGCACCCAGTGGTGTGTTGTATGTCCCTGCATCCCAGGAAATTGCATTTGTAGCTGTGCTGCTTCCTCTCACTGAGATGACAGCCACCTCCATCTCACCTCACAGTACTGCGTGAAAGAAGGTTTCTTCCTGCCTTCTTCCAACACAGGAAGTGTCATTAGATTCTTAAGGAATAAAACTTTTTTGTCTCTCTGACTCTGACTTTATCTTTGGTGTAGAGTTAACTTTTAACAATGGAATTTTTGTTTAAAAAAAGATTTCTCCTTAAGTGCTTGTCTCGTTTGATGGAACTTGAACGTAAGACTATGAGGTGATTAATTAGCACTTTGTTTTCTTGCATTTTTTTTTTCCTACTGCAGTTCTGGCTGTTATATCAGGTTTAATTTCACTATCCTTTATGCAGAAAAAATACTTCAATACGTAGTAGTTCCTGTGGCAAATTCTGCAGCCTGGACTGAGGATTGGTACTGTTAATTTCTAAACAATCATAGCAGTTCCTTCTGCTCCTGAAATCTCTGAACAGTTGCTAATGGGGTATTGCTTAAAAAGTCAATGCAGATTTATCTGTTTGTTCTTTTTAAACTGGCTGCATAGGGTGGCTACTTAAAATCACCGGGTTCTGCCCCAGAGCCTGCTGCTTTGTTTAGCCCTTATCTTTGCTGTGTCTCAGCTCTGACAAATATCTCTTGGGGGATCTTGTGGAGGCAGTTCAATATAAGGTTTTGATCCTCAGCTGCCTGTATTGCCCCTCAGCTGAAGGTCACCAAAACTACATATTTCAAGAGTTTAGTATGTCTGACATCATAAACCCCCAGTGAAAGTAAACAGGAATGGCTGAGGCATGGGTTGGTATTCCTTTCTGCTGTTTTTCCTAGGTAAATGTCTGAGCAGGTTCTCATTCTTTGGCTTTAACTAATAGCACATTAAACCACCTGATCATAAGTCCATAGCCCTATATATCAATTCAAGGTCCTGTTTGGGAAAGAAACTGCTTTTATCCAACCCATAGACAACTCCTTAATATTAAATGTATGCTTTTGCTGTGTTGTCTTGCAGCTTTGTCCTAGGTTAGAGTCTCAGTGAAATGCTGTGGCATCCTTAAGGAAAAAAGTTGCTGTCAGAACATGATATAGGTTATATACATATGTAAAGTATACAGATAACCATTTAAATAATTATAACGTGACCTTTCATATCTCCTATAGATTTTGCTCTTTCCAACCTGCTTTGAAGTCGAAGGGGATAACAGAAGAGTCTTTGAATATAAGGTAAAACATAGGAAACATTGGATAACTATAGATAAGTGCAATTGTGTGAATAAGTTGCACCTTAAAAAAGCATCTAGAAACTTATGTATTTGTGCCCCCTGTTTTAAAGATTCAAAGGTGTCCCCAGAACTCTGAAAAGCATTCTAGTGTACAACATCCACAGTGTGAAGACATGAAGAACATGTTGAGTAGCTGACTGTGCGTAGTTGATTAATAATTATTACCTCCTTAATATGACTTTATTGATAAACTCTACACAGACGGTTAGTGTGGGAAAGAGACAGTCAGTGAGGTGAGGTTAGAACTAATCCATAATGCTTCTGCATAATGTCCTCTTTATTGTGTGGTTAGGGCAGACAACGATAGATGTACACATGGATGTTTTGGCATGCTATAGTAACTGTGTCAGATTTACCACTGCAGGGAAAAAAGTTTTCTTCTAGTGGGAGATGATTGAGAGCATGCTCCACGCTGACCTTGAGTTACTTGCACACCTGCAACTCTCCTCAATTTAGATATCTGAGGAACACAAGCCTGAATGCCTAATTGATGTCCTCTGAAATGATTACCTGGAGGCTGGAATATTGCTGAGACCTGAGGGGCAGATTACCCCTAGGAGTTATTGTGGCCTGTGTCAGCTGTACTACTTTTCTTAATTTTTACTCTACCTGTTGTAGATCATTACCTATCTTGTAAATGAACATTTTCACCCCTGAGTACCAGCCATCAGCTTGCAAAAAGTATCAGTGCAGTATGCAGCCAGCTCTGGCTAGAGCCTAACCTATGCCAGAGGTGATGGTTGACTCTATGGAGCATGATGCATGTTCTGCGTGGAGTAACCAATAACTGACCCCAGGGTTTCCTTTCCCAGTGCTTGCTGGGCGCTCAACAGGTGGGAATGTCTTGCGATAAGATGCACTGTCGCTGCAGGAACTTTGGGCTTTAGCTGGGCATGTGATTATCATGAGAAAAACTTGACTCATGTTTGGTCTCAGAGATTGAAGCAAGGCGAATGTCTAGGTCTAAAGTAGCCTGTCCTGAATCCCATAAGGCTCTGCCTTCAGTTTTACTCTATTGGCTGAGAGAGGACCCTGTGCACCTTACTCACTCTCAGCATGTAAGGGGCCTTTGGCATAGCTTTGGCTGGGCCATGTTAGACCATGAGCTGAATTAAAATAAACACGAGATAGTGCTACTGCCTAAGTAATGATCCCAGAAAAGTTGTGCTTAAGTGGAAGGTTAGAGAAAATGACCCCAGTGGGCATGATTCCCTTTACCAAGCTCCAGTCTGGGAACCAAAGGACTGAGGACTTGATGATTTTACTTTTCTCTCATTTAAATTCTAGAGCCACTTCTGAGTTGGAAAAATTCAAGAGCAGCACAAGGGGCTCCTTCCCCATCTAGGGGGTAATGGCCATCTTCCACAGCATCCCAGCTTTTCCTGCCCTACCTGAGACAGGGAGGAAGTCCAGACTGAGCTCTTTGCCCAGACACACTATTAATAATTGCACAGCTGAAGCATGGAGAGAAGAAATTACTAGTTTGATGTATCCTATGACATTGACGTAGTAGCATTTCTGTGAAACCCCATATCAGTTTTTCCACCTAACCCATAGGAATAATACCCAGGAGTTCTGACTCCCAGGCTCTACTATAGCCATTTAAGAAATTATAATGGGCTGTTACTGGACAACTGAGTACTTTGCCCCTGGCACTTTATTCTTCATTTAAATGTACTTAAATGTTTGCCGTCCCCATATGTTACTACGGCCACAGCCAGCATCTCTTCTTGTGTCATGCTTGACTGCTTTTATAATCTGCTTGTTGGTTGTACCTGTATATTGCTGTTTGCAGGCTGCCAGCACTCTCTGCCCTAGGGATGTGATTTGAGCGAGTGAATGTGTGTGCTCAGGTGCACATGTACATGCGCATATGTGAACAGAAAGCTAGAATTGCTGTGGGGACACCACACCTGATTTAATCAGTTCACCAGCTGACTCCTGGATCATGGAAGAGGGTGACTCTTTTCTTTTCACTGCTTAAGTGATATGCCCAGAACCCTTAAAAAGAGCAATCTTTTCCCTACCCCTTCTCTATTCTGTGCCTTCCTTGGAGGGAGACTCAGAGCAGACAAAACACAATGAATATAGGTGGTGGTGGCTGATTGTGTCGTTCAAGTTAGAGATCACAGCGCCCAGGTATAGCACTCAAAATCCCAGAGAACTTCCTTATGCAAAGTCTGGCCACTTGATGGCAAACAGGATGACTGGTTGTTTAGCTCTAAGCATTGTGTTTGCACTGCTTAGTTACTCCTGAGCATGATATTTGTGTTGTCTGCCTCTGCTGAATTGGAACAGGCTCATGGTTCCTACACTGACAGTGCCTATCTGAGATTCTCTGAGGGGTTGGTGGCAGCCACCAGCAGCAGAAGGTTCCCAGGTCTGTTCCTTTTCCTCCAAATGGTATTTACTGAGACTAGTTTAACTGTGTCTCACCCCATGAAAATGAACAGAACTAATGTTTGGAGCTCAGTGGTGGGAGTGGAGTTACTAGAAAAAACTATCTTTTTGAAGATTCCTTTGCTGGACACGTGCACACATGAAAGACCAAAAAAACCCCAAACAAACCCAAACGTGGAGAACATGTTGTAGGAACAGGTCCAGATGGAAATAGTCCTTCCTTTCCCAAGTATACATCTGTTTTAGTTGTTTTAGATTCCGTTTTAGAGACCACACAGGTCTGCTGCTTCTAAAACTGAGTAGATCTTTAAAGGAAGAGAACTGCAGAAAAAGGGAGGAGGAAGGAAGTCAGCTTTTTATTAGCTTGAACTGGACTTCATGGGACATGGTCTGTGGAGTGCCTTGGTATATTTCAGGGATGTTTGCCTCTTAATCTCCATTCTTCCTGATTATCCTTTGCAGTGGAATTGGGTGTAAGGAGTAAAGGGAAACTTGGCTTCTTTGAGGGGCTAGGTGTCACATTCTTTAGCTTGTTCAGCTTGTCCCTCTCATCCTGACACATCTTCAGGCAGGAAGAGCACAGGTCTTTATCTTGTACTAAGTAAAGCATTTCTGTGCGTTTAACAGAGTCAGCATGCTCTTCTTGTTCTGTTGTATCTGGGAGAGGGTTTCTTTTTGCATTCAGTTTCTTGAGTTTGGGGAGCTTTTTCACACTGTTTGGGATGGTGGTCAAGGCATTGTCAAAGAGACCTATCTCATTAAGTTCCTTCAGGGCCCCAAGACTGCTGGGAATACTGTCAAGACAGTTCAAGCCAAGGTTAAGAATACGCAGGTTCCTGAGAAGGTTCAACTCTTCTGGCAGATTTTTGGTGGTCAGCTTGTTGTTACATATATTCAGGTAGAAGAGGTTCTGAAGTGTACCTATTGCCTTGGGCAGCTCCTCAAGCTGATTACTATGCAGGTCCAGCCAGCGCAGTTTCTGGAACTTCTCAATGCTGCTTGGAATCTTTTTTAACATGTTTCTGCTCAGATCAAGTTCATCCACATCAGCCAGTTTCAGAATGCAGTTGGGGAAGGTGGTGATACCCATCTTGCTTAAGTCAAGACGGCGCCCTCCATCAAAAGATATCCGGATGGAATTTTTGGCAATTTTCAAGGTGATCTTTTTACCTTTTTGACCTTTTGCTTTCCCCTTGGCCATCTCTCCACTGAGAGGCAGACAGACACACCAGACTCTGTAGATAAAGGTGGAAACTCCAGTAAAGCCTTTGAAAGCAGTGGCTGTTACTCCCTAAATAAAAACAAAAGAATCACATAGTTACAAATTAACATGTGACTGCTGGACTGTTCAGAAGTCGTCTTTTTTTTTTAAGGTCAGGACTTTTCAACCCTGAAGCTGCAACTCTGAAAGTTCTTCCTGAAAGTATTTTGAGTAGATGCAATTCTAATAATTTACAATATTACTTTATTGCATTGTAACACCTATATTGCATTACAGGGTGAAATTACAAGTGGGAGAAATTTTCTGTCTTTCATCCTTAGATACTGATTTGAGCTCAGCATGTAATGAAACTGAGTGAAATGTGTAATTACCTATCAGCTGTTTGGGGACATAAGAAAAATGTATTGTGGGTCTCAATCCAGTCCTTAGGGACTGCACTAAAAGAAGCTATCCAAAATTGCACATATTCTGCCAGACCAACAGGTTGCCTTCTTTACAGGCCTGGCATCTGTTGAAAGGTTGGTTAAACATCCTGTTTAATGGACCTGAGATTTGGGCTGTGGACACTATTGAAAGATTAAATATTTAAAGCGAATGATTAAGAGTCTTGTTTTAACCAGGACCTCAGGAACATAGTGGGCTCCCAGATTTGCCAGGACTGCTTGCAGTTCATAGATCACCTGCAGTGCAGAGTGCAACAGGGGGTCTGTGTCAGTGCTGCCTAATGACAGGTTAAACCAGGCCTTGCTAAGTGCCTCCTGTGCTTTCAAGGACAGACTCTGGATACTCTGAACTTGTCTTTCCATTTGTGCTGCAGGACAGATGGGCTCCCACTGCAGAGGTGTCCCACCCTCAAAAAATGCATGTAGGTGCTCTGGTCAGACTTTTGACTCATACTGATGCTCAGTGTGTACTATGTGCTTTGTTGAATTGAGGCCTGTATGAGTAGTAGTCCACTGTAGTCTCAGGTTTGGTGAACTATCGCTCTAATCGAAGGTCATCAAATACAGCTGCTAATTATGGCTAGTGACAAAGGAAATAGACTGATTCCCTGGAAATGGATGACAACGTCCTCTCAACCAGAGTGCAGAGAGGAGCATGAGTTACAGCTGGCTAATCTCAGGATGGTCCGGGTGCTCTGGCATTTAATTGTGAAGAGTCAAATTGCAGCTTTGATGAATGATTGTTTGGGACAAAATATGGATTTGTCTACAATACATTTCCCTATTAGAAAGGCTTCATTACAAACCCTCCAGGCTTTTTGGCTACTCATTAATCATGTGCAAATACATGAAGGGGAAGCTCAGGCTACAACTAAGGCATTTCAGCTCCTTTTCAATTACATGCCATAGCCAAAAATAATGCAAAAGCAAGGAGGATCTCCGCCAGTTACCACCCACCCTTCCAAGAGCTCCATAATGAGGCAGATACTTCAAAAAATACTGGAAGCATCACAGTGGGGTCAGTCTTGCCCTGAGGGTATGTTCCAAAATTGGATCTTTGTTATTTTATATAAAAATATTTAAACACAGTTAAATCTTTCTGTGCCTGTCACTCCCACATTTCTGTCTCTCACCAGTACTTACAGGGCCATATTACCATTATATCTGAAGGCCTCTCACTCTTTGTTGTATTTAACCTGACAGTGCCCCAGGGACAATATCAATGCTATTCTTTCCATAGTGTAGACTGGTAACTGAAGCAAAGTACTCTACAGTGGAAAATTAAGCCCTTTCTCCACCTTTGTTGAAGTTAGCTTAAATAATTTGCCCAGGAGTGGGTAGGAAATTCTGGAGATCAAAACGACAGTTTTTTTTTAAATCGCAATTCACTCATTTTAAGGATTTGATGCAATATTCTTGTTGGCAATTCTGTGAAGATAAAGTTCAACTGCATGGGAAATGCCAGAGCCCTACTGCTGGTACAGGACACCCTGAATCTGTTACCAGTACACCGAGCGTCACTACCATGCTTCAGAAAAAGATCTGCAGGGCAGCTTCCTTACACTTGGGCAGAATGGAAAGAGACTTTCTGCTTCCTGTAATTGGTGTGAACCTGGTGACTTTTGGGTCCAACTTTATCTCTGAATTTTGTGATGGATGAGTTGCCCAAAACATTCAGCACGTTTTGATCAGTGAAGATTTTCAGCCAAGTATGCCTTTAAAAAAATGAAAGGGAGCCTCAAGGAAAATTTTTTTCTGAATTAAAAATGATAATTTCTTTTAAAATTATTTTTGAAACGTCTGTAAAACTCTCAGAAAGAAAATATTTTTTTTCAGTTCCTAGTAATTTTTTTCTATTACTTTTCATTTAAAATCCAAGGGGGGAACGCTGATGCAAAACAGTTTCCTTAAAAATACCAGATTGCCAAAAAATCAGCCTGTTCTGCAGCTGTCTGTTAATGCTGGTTCCCAGTGCTGGTGTCCCTCTGTGCTGTGCGTGCCTGGGAGCACTAGAGGGAGCCTGGTGTACAAGGTTGAGTGCTGGAGGCTTGTCAGGAACAGCACCGTTCAACCTTTCGGGTTTGAGTACTTCTCTGTCAATAACACTTGCCAACTTGTTACAAAGTTTGAACCTGGACTTTCAGACCAAACAAACAGATCACTTTAATTTTCCTGAAGACAGATCTCTTTGCGTGTTGCACTGGATAATGCCCAGACTTCAAAGAGATTTTTAACCGCCTCCTTTAGTCAATTTTTTTAAAATCCTGCTGTGGACCTCTAAGATGCACTGATCAGGAAAACATGAGTCCCTAGGGAGTGCTCATCCTTTCCAAGTGCTATTTCCTTTGTGTTAAAAGTTGCAGCCATGTTTCAAACTTACAAAAAGGTGATTTGCAATCCCAAAGATAGGGGTTTGCACTAGAGGTCTGCAGAAATACCAAGCACCAGACAACTGGAAGGGAATGAATAGCTCTCTTCTCTCCACATGCTTGTAAACTAATTATCAGTGTTTCACAGGGCTGTAGCTGGAGATAATGGAACTTACTTAGCCCTGTCTCATTTTCTTTAGCTCTGCGTAAGAGGGCTCCAGTTCTGTAGCCACTGATATTAAAAATTCAGGAATTGCAGGAGCCCTCCTTGCTGTTTGACCTCATGCTCACAGTGCATCTCCTGGGATAGCAGAGGGAGAGTTACATGTGTTGCACTACTACCTGAGAAACGATGATGACAAGAGGGAACTCTCTTTACTCATTTTCTTGAAACCCTCACCACACTGCCAGGTTCACCCTCTGAGTTGCTAGCAATCCTTTGCCCAGGGGTGGGGGTGCTGCTTTTCTGTGTGTATAAGGTCTTGCTAAAGAGTATCTTAACTAGAAAACTCTTTCCCTTTTTATCCACACTTGGTAAAATCTTTTGTCTGGATTGGGCTTTTGAAAGCCCAGGGCTAGCCCCAGAGCTTTAAGAGTGTTTCACAGGCCCAGAGCTTTGAGGCTGACCTGATACAGGAATTGATAGAAAATGTGTTAAGGGCATCACGCTGTCTCTGGTGCTCTGTGTTGCTGGGAGCTGCAGGGAGGGAACAGACCTTGAGCATCAGGACTAGGGCTGTCAGCGTCTCTCTGAGGCAAGGAAGGATTGGAGATTACTCCTTATCTGCACTTAAGCACTTGCACAGGGCCCAGTCATGACTCCTTGTAGCTTAAGCCTGTCTTAAGAAGGAGATCTGATCCTAGAAGAATACAGATTTCGACCCTGCTGATGCAGTCTCTTCCACCTGACCCTTTCTTCTTCCTTTCTCAGCATTGGGCTGGTAGGAGCAGAACAGGCCTTCTGCCTATGACACTGTCTGGGTGTTTCAGGACCTTGTCCTCTGTGGTTCTGCCTGTTCTTTTCATTCCATATGTTGCTTCACCGCACCCAAGGCTGCACAGAACCATCTTGACCCCATCTTGAACTAGTCTGTGAGAAAAGTTTCCTCTGTCTTTCCTCCTGGAAGTCTGCGTATTGCAGAGCAGTCCTGCCAAGCCCAGTGGAGCTACGCATGCCCTGCACCTCTCTGGTGGCAGGAAAGCAGTGAGGTGACATGTTCTAATTCACCCATGGAATAGCTCTATAGAAATACTTTCATATAAAGCTTAAAAACAGCATTTGTACAGTGAATAATTTTGCATGAAGCCAAGCAGTTCCAGCTAGGGTAGGTTTTTATTTTCCTGCTTACAAGCCTGTTACCATTTCTTTGTTGTTGGATACAATCTGTTGTGGAAGAGAGATTAATTCACTATCTTAAATGCAGTCTCATGTGAACAGGCAGGTTTAGACTAAATCCTGCCATGAGCAAACAGGCAGAGAGAGGTTTTCTTCCTTAATTTTCTTGCTTTTCTACATCACTTCAGAGCCACTGTGCTATCACAAAGTGCAAGGTCACTTATAAAACCAAGACCCACCAAAAATAAATGAAAATATTGTTTCATCTTAACAGTTCTGCCAGACTGCCCCCATGTGTAAGATCTTACCGGCTAGCAGCTAGGAAGACTTAGAAGGTGAGGTATAGACGTCAAAAGCTGCTTGGTTTTGTTCAGTAGTGTGGGATGAGCCTTCATGGTCTGTTACTGTGCAGTTGTCCTCTGTCTACTCGTCTTTGAGTAATGAATTAGTCTTTCGGTCTGTAAATAAACCCATGAGCAGGGAGCACAGGACAATTTCCTTGTCACAGTCCGCAAATTCTGAATCGTACTTCCTTGATGGAAAATAGCAGCCCTTCAAGAAACTTGTGTATGTGAATGTGCGGGGAGGAGGAGAAACAGTGAAAAGGACTTCCCCAGCTTCAGGGTCTTTCTATTCGATTCTCTTTCCACAGCCTGTGAAACTTTTGTTCCTAAGCAACGGCAATGCTAGGTCCTTGGAGATGATTAGCATAATGTTTGGTTCCAGCATGCAAGTTTAAGCTGGAGGGAAAAGAACTAAACGGCATGCAGTGCCTGCAAATGTTAGATTTCAAATTATGCAGAAAGAAAAAGCATCTGGACCTCGTTAGAAGCTGTTCGTCAGCTTCTAACGTTGCCTTAACTGTCCATTTTAGTCATTTGGCTATTTCATTTTATTTGGATGTGACACAGTGTGAGATACTTTTATGTGTGTGTTAAAACTCACAACATTTGTGATGCCATCTTTAGCATGTGCCAGGTCAGATAGATATGGACACAGGAGGGAAAGCTCATTCAGCAGTGCGGCAGAGAGGATGTGAGCTATGGCTTATATTCATCTATCTGTGGCCCTTCAAAACTGCAGTTGGTACAACAATTTCCCTTTGTAGCATGTGAATATACCGGAATTTGTCTCTGTGACTGGGGCTAACAAGCTCAAGCTTTTAGTAACTGGTTGCAACAATTTCAAAATAGTATCTGGAAAAAAAGAACCATGAAAGAGAAATAGCTGTGTGTTTTGTGGTAAGTATTGTTCACAGGAGATGCAACATTGAAGTCCCTCTCTTGCTGATAACGGGTCCGGGATATTATTGGCATAAAGAATCTGATAATGTTGATGTGCTTGCCTGATTCCAGGGTTGGAGATTGTATTCTGCTCACCTCAACAAATTAATTGAATTTACTTGATGTTTTTCTTCATGACCTAACGTGTGCCTGGGTGCAGCATTTCTGCAGTGGAAATGTCATTCCTTTGTCTGGTTGAAGCCTGTGAACAGGTGCAAACAGTGTTCTGTAAATGAGGGAGATTCCTTTCTCCCTCCCTAGCCCTTTCAAGACATCCTACTTCAAGGAGCCCTACTTTAATATTAAACTTATTCATAAATTTTGTATTATATTTCTATTCTTTGAGCACAGAGTAAGAATCCCCAGAAGGTAGACTGGTACAATCAAACAAGGAGGATGCTGTACCTTTATTCTAAAGTAGTCTAACCTAACACTTTTCTGAGTTTGAGAGAGACTTGATTGTTTCACAGGGAAAGCTGGCATTCCTTTTGGCATCTTCTTTCCTCTTTTAATAGTAGGACTTGGACCGAGGTTGTGGCTTACCAGGAAGGGGATTTTCCTTACAATATTCTTGGTAATTGCAAAGATTCTTTAGGAAAAGTGGTTTTAGGAGAGCCTTGGCACTGTTTTGCAGACTTAAGAAGTCTGGAGGATGGAAGACAAAAAGAAAATGAAAGCAGCTTTGTGAAGTTTAAGAACCCATTAAGTTTATTGGAATTTTTGTATTCATTTCAGTGGGGGCAAAATCTTATCCTTTGAGATTATCTCATCTGCAATGAATCTCCAAATGGGTTGAGGTCCACCTGTCTCTAGCAAATGGAGAGCACTGGCTATCACAAGAGTGAGATCATAGTCTGATGTTAATGGAAGAGGGATTAATAAATCACTTATGTATAGTGTAGCCAAAGGTGGATCATCATTAATATACATCATGCTTAGATTCTGCCATGGCTAGTGCCCTACAAATACCTTATAGATTTAGATTTAGATAGATGTGTAGGTACTTCTCTTGACTTCACATAACTTCACCCCCTCTTGAAGTTTAGTTATTTATATTTATAAAGCACTTCTACTGTTTCTTTTTCAAACCAGCCTTTGATTATTTATTTATTTTTAAATGCACTTACTGCAGTTAGATAGCTGCAGTTGATCTACTTTGAGCTTTTGCTGTGCTGGCTAGAGAGGTGTTGGCTGGAGGAATGCTGATTGATTACCAAGGAGAAGGGAGGAACAGGCTTGAGCTGCCTGTAATGCGATTCTTGTTCTGAGCCCCTGCAAGTCAACAAGGGAGAATGCAGAATTCCAGATCTCTGGGGACTTGGAGGCAGCATCCTGCCTGGTCCCCCAAGACCCAGAAGGATGGCTCTTACAGGGGAGTGACTACATTTAGCCATGCATATTTTCATGATGTGGTGAACTCATTGACCTCTTTGAGTTATATAGTGGCTTCCAAAGTCAGCAGAGAGGATTGTTTTGACCCTTGTAGAGTCCTTATTAGCTGTTAGGGCTTGTGACAAGCAAAGCAAGAGTTCCACTAGAGGGTCATGGCACCCACAAGTCAACATATGTGTATTTGCATAACGTACACACAGACTGTCCCAGTTTAGTCCTGTGTATAGTATTTTATAAAGCTCCCACTTTAAATGTTGGAGGACTGATGTATTGAGCAGGTTTGTACATTACATGATCCCCTGCTTTCCAACTCAGCCATAAATCCAAAATAGACCTGGGTAGTTTTAGTGAGTGAGTCTGCCTCTTTGGAAAGGGAAGAACCTAACTTGATCCCTCTGTGACAAATACCCTAATCCAACTACACTTCAAATAATGCCAGGCATCCTGATCCTGTTCCGTCCCTTTGAGATACTCTCTCTGAGTTCCGAATGTCTGTTGGAGGCCTTACAAAGGCCAGTGGGGTGAAACTCTGTGAAATCTACATACAGTGCGAGAGGGCTGAATTGTAAAGGGTAAGTGCTCATGATACCCATTTTCTACTTTAGAATTCCTACATCCTTGAGCCACATGTGGCTCAAACTGGGAGTGGAAAGCCACCATAACTCTACTCTAGTCAATGGACTTTCTTCTGATTTACATTGTGTAAATTAGACCATCATATAATCTATTCATTCTTTTAGGACAAAGAGTGAAGATCCTATTTTCCCATATCAGAAATGAACTACACCTTTTTGTGTTGCCTGGTTTCTATAAATGTAGCCTATCATTGTTAGGTTTCATATGCTTAGCAGGAGAACTAAACAAAGCTTGAGAGTTGTAGACCATGTGCTAGAATTGGTCCTGGATTTCATGTTTGTTCATGGTATAGGTTATTACTTAGGCTATGCAAAATCCTTGCCTCAGATACACACTTTTCTCTGAAAAGAGTGCCTAAGCAAGCAATAAAATACTGTGTTGAGTAAACCATAGTGTTTTTCCTTTATGTACACTATTAACTGGTCCAGGAGTGAATAGGCAGTAAAATAATGATTCATAATCATGAGAGGTAGTTTACAAGAATTTAATACTGCAAATTCAATAAAACTGTAATGATCATAGACCATTCTGGTGTTTTATTTAGATCTCTGAGGCTGCTTTAAGCCTAGCTTTGTGGATTTCTAGTGTGATCCAATGCAGAGCACAAGAGTGCAAAATAGCAGCTAGTTATTACTGTAGCAGTTTTATAATCTATGGCTGAACTGATTTCCTTACTCTTCGGGAAGTTAGTAGTCCTGTCTCTGACCTGGCACCTTAGGATTAGTTTAAAGTTTTACGCTCAAAGAGAAAAGCATCTCCTACTGCAGTTATATCGTATCATATCAGTAATCCTGTTTACTTTGGCAGATTGAAAGTTTCTTTAATCCAGAAGCTGTCACTTGTCTGAGTTTGGTCTCTAGGAATTGACAAGAGCAAGTCCATGGCCTTCAGATACTGAGACGCCTTTTAGTTCAGTGTAGTTGAAATGTGACTTTAGTTTGCTCAGAACCTTTGACTCTTTCACATTTTCAAGTCAATTACCCTGTTTAGAATCTGCCTTCAGCTGATTTGTTTCTTATTTAAAGTTTCAGAAAAAGTTGCATTTTGAGAACAAAGTGGAAAAAACATATTTAGTCTATTACTTTAAAAAAATCATAAAAATGGCAACCCACTTTTTAAGGACTACATTAGATTCAAAGTGCTTTGTGCAAAAGTATCATCTTTGATATGGAGACCAAGACACCTCTGTTTTCAAGTCAGTGTTTTCAGAATGCTTCAGAAGAGCATAAGCCTTTGAGAATAAGGCTTCAGAATAGAAACAGACAGCCTTAATGGTACCTGTCACTAGCAGTCTAGCTCAACAATGGGATGAGACCGGGAGCACAGACTGATTAGCGGTGTGGCTTAGCTTGGAACAGCTGAGGAGGTTGCTGTCCCCAGCTGTCCATCTGCCTCTGCTGCAGGGGCATCTTCCCTGCCTGTGAGTCAGCTTCTGAATTCTTGCAGTTTACCATATGTCACCGCCATGGCAGTTTGCAGCAATTTCTTAAGGCAAACAGAATCCATCCTTAGCACCACCACCCTACTTCCTTCTTTTTTCTTTATTAAATATCATACTTTAAGTGGCACTTCATTCAGGAGAAGACTGGCAAGTAGCTTAGGGAGAGTCAGTGTGTCATAGGGAGAGTGACTGACAGTGATAAATTCATCAGCCATCTGAAGCTAGGCCATCCCTGTTCACCAGGCAGAGCCTTCAGTCCTGATGAAAACAGTAATGAAATTTGTATTGTGCTGCACTAACCTAACTGATGACGGTCTGATTTTTTAATTACTTGGTCAATCATGAAAATTCAACATTCTTCTAGTCTTGATGTTCTCTCATTTCTGCGGGATGAGAACAGGGGGCACAGGGAGCACAGATGTTAAAGTATTGACTTTCTTTTATTGTTCTGAAGCAGGCCATTTCAATCAAATGTTTGTTCCATACAGGAAACACTCAGGAGGGGAAAAGACAATGCTCCAGAAGTGGCAGGTAAGCTAAATCTTGGCTTCACCTGGTTAAGCAAAGAATTTCAGCACCTGTCTGTGTGTCTGCACACAGATATGTGTGTGTGTAGGTATGTACTTCAAGGCCTAAGCTGTTCTCTTGCTGCTAAAGGTGAGGTTATTCTCAAGAGGAGCAGAGTATTTACATCTGGTTATTGCAGAGGTTTTGCTCCTCCTGCTGTGAAACATATGGTGCTACTGTCTGGCAGATTAAGTGTGATTTTATGCACATTTTTAAACTGAGACCAAAAAGAGACACCCAGCTGAATGACTGTTCACAGATAACCTGTCCATCTAAATCAATGCACCTCTCATTTTCCCAGAAGTTTTGCAAGCTGAGAGATTCATTTACTTTCCTGTACCCCTGATCTTGGTGACCTAAGACACACTGAAGAAATCTATACCTTCTTGTTTATATGTAGCACTTTGTGCAGCCTTTTCTATACAGGCAGTTGTCCAGGATTTTCCAATATACAGATTGCATGCATTTGGCTCACTTCTAAATTGGAAAAAGGTGCTCTGTTATGCAAATACAGCATAAAAGCACTGCATGATTATAGACAAATGCAAATGGCCTGTCTGAAGAAGAGCCAGAACGAAGAAAGATTCTGTTGAATGGGTTGTTGTATAAGAGATATTGTGCTGATCTGAATGGCAATGGATGATTGATTACACTATTTGTAATTCTTGTCCTGTTGGACCTGGGAACCACAGGGCTCTGAGGGTGCCTTTGAGGCATGGTTTTCAGGGGTGGAGTTAGGAGATTTTAACGCTTGTTTCCTTTCCTGGCAGAAAAGGGAGATCAGCAATTTTGATTACCTCATGTACCTGAACACATTGGCTGGCCGCAGCTACAATGATTACATGCAGTATCCTGTTTTTCCATGGGTCCTCGCTGACTATCACTCAGAGGTCAGTGTTCGCTGCAGCATTCTGTACTTTCTACGATAGCAACCATACAAAGGTTTGTTGAATGAAGCCATTGAAGAAAAGAGGTCTAGACCAAGGGTTCAAAATTTGAGATAGTTTATTTGAACTGTACTGATGCTTTATAGATTAGCCTTATCTTCAAATCAGCACACTGAGGATAATGTTCTGTCTCAGAAAGGTGGATGAACATCTGTTAAATACATCCCTAGTTAAGGGCAGGCTGGATCAGCTCAGCAGATAGTCAGGGACAGGCTTCTCTGGTCCCTGACAAAGAGGTCTGGACAGAAAAGTCTTGAGAGCAATTTGCAACCTGCCAGGTCCTTTATTTGTGAAGATCCTTGTACATGCTATCCTTTCAGTGGCACATGCTGCCACTCTCTTTTCAAGTCCCATCCCAGTTCTGGAGATGGGTATTTTAGTACTGAATCTGTGACCTTCTTGTATAGGTGAAACTTCCAACACAGCCTTGCTGCTATTCAGTGTCACTGAGCTATTCATGATGTCTAAGACTCCGAGATCTAAAAATCTACTGGTTTGCAAATCTTGCAAATCTTTGCTGGTTTTGCTTTTCAGACTCTAAACCTTACTAATCCTCATACATTTCGGGACCTGTCAAAACCCATGGGAGCACAGACTGTGGAGAGGAAACGCAAGTTCATCCAGCGCTACAATGAGGTAGAAAAGAGTGAGGGTGAGTGTTTTAGGAGACTAACAGACAGCAGAGGCTTGAGTCCCCTCAGGCCTTTGGGGATTCTGGTGAATCCCTTGGAAAATGTCACCCAAAAACTTTCCAGAGCTGTGGCTAAGGGAAGCACCATGCCAAGGAGGTCCTCTTGCTTCCGGATACAAACTGGTTGAGGATTCAAAGAGAAATTACTCCTGCAAGCACTGCCTTATGTGCCTTGTACTGCTGCATTCTGTTCTCTTCCCTTGGGCGGGAAGAGATGCTACAGCAAAAAGCAATGTTCTCTAGAAAAGACTGTGCTGTTAGCTAAGCTGCATACATTAATCTTGTTTGTTAGCTAAGCTGCATGTAGAAGACTGCTGCACACAGCTTAGCTAACAGCTACTTTAAAAAAGGAAACAGAACATTGAGGCTGTTGACCTCTGGAGATCAAGACTTTTTTTGGTACTAATGGGGAAAGGGATGGTCTGGAAAGTTAAAGGCCTTATTCTTCAGAAAATGAAATGTGGAAGGAAAAAAACCACCAACATATAGAGATGATAGTAACTGCACATTCAATACAAATATGCAAGGTGTGCTTTTGCTCACAGATCCTTGAACACATCTGCTTTAAAGATGCTTCCTATTTAGTTGTGCTGTGGTAACTGGACGCTATGGGCTTGAAATGATGATATTTTGCACTGGAATCTGATTTGTGTTCAATTTCCAGGAGACCTGTCAGCCCAGTGCCATTACTGTACTCACTATTCATCAGCAATTATAGTGGCATCTTACCTGGTCCGAATGGAGCCATTTACCCAGACCTTCTGTTCTCTGCAGGTAAGGGGGCAAGATAGCTTCCCTCCTACACCTCGTTATGAACCATGTAGCACATTATAGTGGCTGTGTAATGAAGGGGGATTAATTCTTTTGACATTTTCTGTATACTCTACGTGGACTCTGGACTCACTGAAGGCTATATGCTATGGCTATTGAATTCGGTGAAAACATCTTAATGGGAGCATGATGATGTTTTTTTCTGAGGGAGAAGGATTATTTAGTCTTGGTCCTGTGATGCATTTTGTGAGAGCTGAGGCATGTAAACACCTAGACAATGTTTCACTATCTGTCTGAACGTAAGCTTCTGACTTTGGGACAGATGAGACTTTCATGGTAGGTATTCTAAGCTCAGGTGCCCATACAGTAATGCGGCTACAGGCAAGCACTTGCAGCTGGCTATGGTGGCATAAAGAGCATTCCTGGGCCAAATGAGGATGCACAGGTTCTGGTGGGTGGGAAACGGTAGGGATCATAGGATCAGCTCCCAGAAGGAGAAGTGGGGTGAGACTACATCCAGTGCTCCAGGAGGAGTATTTTGTTTTAGCTTGTTCTGAACTTGACACAGTTTTATGGTGCCAAAAGCACTCACCATGGAATTGAATTTCATGGAAACTGAACTTTGTGCTTACCTTTCCCAGCTGGTCAGCATACAGGGACACCAAATTTCCTGACTGCCCTCTTCAGCAGGCAGTTGGTGATGCACAAGCACAGACACATGGGCTGTAGCAGGGTCTGCTAGGAGGACAGGTCCTCAAAAGTGTATTTTTTAAGGAGTGTCTTGCTGAAATCTACCTATTGTTATAAAACAATGTGAGGGAGACTGCTAGGCCAGAATATTCCACACTCAGAGACTGCTGTATGTGTGCTGAGGGCTGGCATGCCTCCTGCAGCTTTCCAAGTGCTTTGCTGTTGTGCTGGTCTTTTTTCTTTTTCTTTTTTTTTTTTTTTTCAAATGAACTAATACAAATAAAGCTCTGTGCTAATTAAGTAATAAGCCCTATGATATCAGCTGTTACCAGCAGTAGCTGATGGGTTAGTGAACCACCTGAGGCAATGGTTACCATCGCACTCTGTGAGCCATATGTTAGCTGCAGTCATGAATGACTGTGGAGCAGTTGTTTCTTGTTGTAAACAACAAAGGCTGCTGCATCTCACTGGCACACTTTTCATGCATAACAAGTTCCCAGTCTGAGTAGCTGCTTTGCAGATCTGTTAAAGTGTGATTAGCAGGTAAACAGCATTTTTGTGGGGATAGTTATCTTCATAGGCTGCTGAGATCTGAAGCACTCAAAATTTTGTCTGGGTGTGGATCCACTGAAACTGTTGAACTTCTTCCATTCTCATTCCTTTGCTCTTATGTTGCTGCATGTTCAGCTGAGGTCATTGCTGTCATTTTCCCCAGGTGACTAGTCTTATAGTGGCTTACAAATTGCTCTGAGATGCAGTCAGGTAAACAGCAGACCTGAGAACTGTATGATCAAATCAAGAGGAGGTTGGAAAAGGAGTACTCCCAAACTTAAGACCTTGGAAGGGTGCTGAGTTGGGAGCTGTGAAAGCTTCTCAGCATCTTAAAAAGTGGAAAAGCTATGCTTATAACTGCAAATTGCCAGTCTGAATGTACATGACAAGGAGATGCAACAACTTGGGTGCACCCCTTGTGAAAAATTGATGTTGGCATAACATCCTGTTTCTCAAGTCGAAGAATTGATTTGCACCTGACTACAGAAGAAGAGGAAGCATTGCCTTTAGTAAGGGAACTGTACAGGAGTTTACAAAACCTTATTATTTCACATTTTATTTAAGTGTATCGAGATCTGACTCTGGAGAAAAGTGTGTATGTGCTTTGCATATTGTACTGGAATGGATGAAAAACTGGCTCATCAGAAAGGTGTTGGATGGTACCTTCCAATTCACCTTAGTCAAGTACCTCCTGCATTTCCTTTCAGGAATTTTCTTAGCACCACAAAAAAACAGCAAAGGTTTCTGCGTTTAGTGTCTTCACTGGAAACTCATTTTAGGATCCTATGCCCTCGATAATTAGTGAGACTTGCTTTTGATTCAACTCAGCTTTTATCCCCTTTTATTCTTATCCCACTGTTGCATTTCAGCTAGCAGGCTGATCTTCTTTCCTGGCATTTACGTCTCAAAGGTACTTATAGAGAATACAGTTCTTACTCTTCATTGTGTCACTGACTCTTCAGCAGTCATTTAAGCACTGTCTGCAGGTAATTACTTCTTAGCATCTCTGGGTGTGTGGTAAGTCTTTGCACCTTTACGAGCATCTCTTACAAACACTTTGAGGTCTTTGGGTTTAAAGCACCACCAAGGATCACTGATACTTAGTTTTATAAACATGGGAAGTTCTAACTTCTCTCTAGAGATCACTTTTGATTAGTTTCTTTGTATATACCCTGCTGAACTGTAGTTTTAAAAAGCAAATTTTTCCAGTATTCCTGATGAGAGTGTAAGGCTTCTACTGAAAGGAAATAAAACAGAGACTTACTGTCTCTAGCTATAGAAAAGCCGTAAGAGTTCATGTTGACTTGCAATCTAAAGGCATAAAGCAATTCTTGATTCTCTTTTTCCCTTTCAGTGCAGTTTTTGCATTCATAGAGAGAGAAAACTCATTAATTCTGATATAAATATATGCAAATAAATTTATTAATATAGGAAATGGGAAAATCAGTTATTGCTTCCTTTATAAATAATACAGGCTTAAGTTTTAAAGATATTACTTTTCCCTAAAATGAATTAGACAGCCAGGGAAAAAATCACATTTTTTCGTGGTGGTAATATCTTTAACCAGATTTGTCGCGCTAACAGCATTTCCTATGTATATATTATTTTTATTTAATACAGGTAATCTTTTTATTACAAATCATATTGTTTCTCAGGAGATTACCATCAGCTCTCATAAAAGCTGCAAAAAAAGATGAAAAAGCATCAATCACCACCAGACACAGCACACTGTGTGCAGATTAAATATACAAAGCCCTTTAATATGCTTCAATGAGATACTTGTTAGCTGTTGATTTATTTATAGCCCTTCTTCTACTCTGTTTTAATTTCAATTTGAATTTGACTCCAAGGGTCCCTGCCTAATAATGATCAAGAACAAGATGACCTTGTGCATAAGATTAACTCTAGCTAGGCTTACTCATGTGATTAGCCACTTTTTCATTCAGTCCCTTGAGTGGGTGTGGGAAGGATTCACAACTCTCAGCGGTATAACGAAGAAGGACAAGGAGATAAAGCAGAACTATGCTGTCATTTAGAGATGAGGCTGGACCAAAAGCCTGGTCAGAATTGACCTCAGGGGAAACAGGGGTCTTTCCATCTGGAATACGTGTTGGCTTTTGGTGGGAGTCTATCTCAAAGGACAAGCAAAGAGATGTGGCTTCAGAACTTAGGGTTTATTGACTTCTGTGTTTTGATAGCTTATCCATGAGGGTAGTTTCTCCCTAACAAAAGACATGGCAAAAGTTACTTTTTTAGTTGCAGTTCCCAGTCTTAGCAGAGTTTGTAGATCCAAAGGAGTTGCATCATAAGTGTGCAGGTACTTGGCGGGTCAAAAGCGCTGTGGTTCTTACCATCAGAAACCAGTGTAGGAACTGCTGCTCAGGGTTCATTTGGTCCATGGGAGTGGGATCCCACCCTTACAGCATGAGGATGCTTAGATGTTATTTTCCTATTTAATAGATTGCAAGTCAAAGCTTCAGCTGACTGTTATTGTGCAGAAGGGCAGCATCCTCCTCATGTGGCACATGCAACAGTCTACAGGCAGAGAGAAAACTAACCAAAAGCTATCAAGTTTTCACAAGAGGTCAGCCATAGACAGAACCTGACTGCGTCTCATATTCATTAACAGATTGACTCTTGCAACGCCTCTGGGTTTTAGTGTCTTCACTCTGCAAACCTGCTGGCTTATTCTTTTTGCCTAGTGAAGCAGCTTTGAAGATTGAATGGTTGAGGATGAGCAATCATTCATACATTTTCACTGCACTGCAGAACTATTTAAAGATACTTGTTCTATCTCTGATAATCTCTCTTGAGCTCTGGCAGTGGGATGTAGTGTTATGTCCCATGACATATAATCCAAATTAATTAACCCCAATAAGAAATGCCTATATTAGCCTGGGAGCATGCTGCAGCTGGACAGCTATACTGTTGCCAGCACCTGAACTAGGTAGTGAGAAACAATTTGGTTCTGTCACTTTATACAGTTAAAAAGTTAGCTTTCTTCTGAAACAGCTTGTTTTTTTCTGACAAACTCATTCAGATGATCTCCAAAACCTGATTTCTATTTGATTATTTCCATTATTGTAGAAACTTCATGTTAAAATAAATCCTTTCATGCTCAGTGTAGGGATCCCTATGTAAAGGTCAACCCAGATTTTCACAAATGCATACAGTATCTGAAATCCCATTAGAAAATTCTATATGAAATATGGTTCCAATGTAAGGCATATACCCTTCATTGAGTGAGTGATTTATTTATGGTTGTTTGTGATGGGTTTTTTTTCTTTCTTCTTGAGGCCTTAGTTCAGGATGATGTCCTGGGCTACTAAGGCTACTTTTGTCTAGTGTTTGAGTCTCATTAAACTAAACATGTTCAAACGCTCTCAGGATGTGATGTAGTTTGTTTCTCCTTCCTTACACACCAGTTAAGCTTGGGACCCAGACATTCTTCCTTTCTTCCCCTCTTTATGCTGTCCCTCCTTCCCATAAGGAATGAACAGTCCCTGCAGGCTCCTGCCCACTGGGCCTTTCCTGTTTGCCTGGATCTGATGAATGTTATTTCAGTGGTACCCCCCCTTCTCCAAAGGTTTTTCTCAGGAGAATTGCACATAAGATTGTTCACGGCTATTTGGGTCATGACTGAAGTGAAAACACTTGCAAATCACTTTGGTATGAAAGGAATGAATTGCCTTCAGAACCATTAATAATGGGTATGCCGATATTCTCAAGCTGCACATGATCATTTCTGCTTGCCTCTGTGTTACTGCAAGCTATGCTAAGTCTCCAAGCTATATGGTATTCTCAACTACATATCTACAAATCAGGACTAAGTTAGCCCCCAATATAATATCACAGTAAATCGAGCTGGGACAGATCTTGAGATATCAAACATGTGATAAGGTGGTTATTGCAGAATTAGCTAAGATTCTGCATCTGCTTTTTATTTAACAGAATATTCACACTGCAGTCTTTTTGTCTGTCTCCATTTCACAGGGCGGGAGTTTTGATGTTGCAGACAGGATGTTTCACAGTGTAAAGAGCACGTGGGAATCAGCATCAAGGGACAACATGAGTGATGTCAGGGAACTCATCCCTGAATTCTTCTACTTGCCAGAGTTCCTAACTAATGCAAATAACTTTGAACTTGGTAAGTTCTAGAAGGGACTTCAGTGCTCTCCTTCCACTTGTCAGCACCCTGCCAAGGGAAAAGATCCAGATCACATGTTGAGAACTGGTCCCTGGACTATGCAGATTGTTGAAGCTTTCTAGTGATGAGAGATCAATTTTTGTTAAAATACAGCTACAAGAATACAAGCTTCTGATGCCTGAATGATATTGGAAGAACCAAGTTTTCAGCTCAGAAGGGATTGTAGTTCCTATCAGTTACTGTGCAAAGGAACTACACATTTTGTCAGACAAAGGAGGATTTTGATATAAGCAGTCTAGTTGGCTGCTTTTGAAAATCTGGTCTGTATAATCACATCTTTGTGGCTATGAACAATATATTAATTTGACTTTTGGAGACGGATCTGTTGTTTAAATGGTGTTGGTAAAAGGTGTTATTTTAAATCTCATGTCTCTGGTGATTAAAGTTGCCAAATGTTCTCACTATCATCTTGAAAGGTTCTGCACAATTCACATGAACTTCATATATTGTCCCTGGCCTCAAGCAGCATCATAATCCCTTCCGAATGTACACTTTCTCTAGACCTTTCTGTGTCAGTGATGGAGGGTCAGAGAGAATCCAGAAAAAATAGTATTCAGAAATAGGCATGGCAGTCCTGATTCACTTCACTTTACAGGAAATGCATTGCATTTGCAATGCAGAGCTGCTTTCTGTAGTGGACACAGTTTGGTTAACAGTTAAGGCAGAGGAGAAACACCTTAAGAATCATCCTAAATTGGTGATAGCAAAGGCAACTTAATCCATGGTATTGAGGTCTAGCTATAATTGTATTTAAGATCTCAGTGAAATGAGACATGCTAAGAACAGAGCAGAATGGGGGAAAGATGTTAGAAGGTTGTGAAAAGATAGGAAAGAATTGGGTTAGTTTCATCCTGAGAGGAGGCCAAGAAACAGAGCCTGGCTGAAATCAAGATCCAGAGACTGACCTGAGTGGAATTAAGTGGAGGGACCTAAAAAAGACACAAGAATCTTGCCAATGGAGAGCAAATATACAGGAAGATTTTACAATAGGCGAAGCCAAGAAACTGAATTTGTTCACCACTACACTGTAAGGAAACTTGCAGTCCCAGACCTGAGCCTCAACTTAGATTTTAATTCATCCAGTTACGCAACACTGTGCTCTGATTTAAGAACATATGCTCACCTTCTGAAAGGAATCAAATTGCAAAGGACTTGAGAACAAAATCCCTCTCAGTGGCTGCTTTAGTAGGAATATCTGGCAGTTAGGCCCACAGGATTATGTATAAAAAGAGTTGTGCCAACAGGTTTGTCTTGTCTAAGTTTGCAGTCTGTGCTAAAACGGTTTGTGCTGAGGACATGCATATTTTTACTGCATTAGCGACAGTTACTAGAACATCTTCTCAGTGCTTTATTACTGGATCAGAAATCCCAGGAGAAATTGGTTCTGCAGTGTTCTATGAAGCTATACTTGATGTAGAACCTGAAACTGCATCTGTGAAAATCACCTCAATTTCCTTTCAATTCAGTGTTTTGGAAAAGCTGTTCCTATTTGCAGCGTGTGTGATTCTTGGTTTTATTTCTCCTTTTGTAATTCCTGCAGGCTGCATGCAGGATGGAACAGTGCTGGGAGATGTGCAGCTTCCTCCTTGGGCAGATGGGGACCCCCATAAATTCATTCTCCTGCACAGACAGGTCAGTGAATATCAAGATTTGTGAAAAAATGCTGAACTGGGTCCCACTGAAAATGAAACTCTGAAGACCAGAGTCACAAACCAAAATGTTAGATACAAATACATGCCACCTTTGCAGAGTTCATGTGGGTTCTGAACTTTGCATGTCTGCTTGTCTGCCTAACAATTCACCCTGAATCAAGGCCAGCTTTCCAGACCAGGTGAGGTTTGTATCTAGGTCCATGGCATGGACCTATCAGCCCATAAATATATGTGACCATAACCTAATGCATGCACATGGCATTTATATGCACACAGTTCCATGTTGTTGCTAACCAGTTGTGTGTTTATTTAAACTATCTACCTCCACCTCTGAGTCACACCAGGACTACAATTGCTTTTTTATTTGGGGTGGGGGGCAGGGGAACGTAATGTGATTTCCTGCCTTTAATGGAGTCAGCCTTGGCAATTTGAAAGCAAATAGCTTTAAGGTCCTGAGACTTACTACAATTAGTGCTATCTATTAATAGTTAGAAAGTCTTAACTTCTGTGTGATGTTGCCTGCTACGCAGCAGTGAGCACAAAGGCAATTCTGTATGAGGTTTGTTGCACTCAACACAGACTTTGCAACAGAATATCTTGGTGCAGCTCTCTCTTTTTATTAGAGCTAAAAAGGTAATGGGCTGTACTATAGTGCCCCTGCATGACCTCATGAGATTTCTTCTGGCAAAAGGAGTCAATCTGTATTTGTGAGTGTGTGCAGATTGTTGCTATGTACAAGAAGTGTGATGATTATATGTTAGCATTGGTAGGACTAAACAAATAGCCCATGGTCTTCAAGGCATTGCATCATCCTAGTTTGTTATGTGTACCTTCAGTTTCTGCCTCAGTGGGTTCTTCTCACCTCTTCTATGCTATGCAGGTCCTGCCCTTGGGGCTTCAGCTTTCATTCTCTATAATCTCTCTAGGTGATTGTATCCAAACCTGTGGATACAACCATCTTCTCTATTTTGATATCTCCAGATAAGCCTTTCCTCAGCTGACCTCTCCAAATGCTGGTTTAAATCCTGTCTCTGACCTCCTTACTGACTGACTGAACTTTTTGTTTGTGTTTTGAAAAACCAGTCTCATACTCTTGTCTTGTAAATATTCTTTTCTCCACTGTTTCTTACCTATTGACAGCAACCACCACGCTCCCATTAACTTACTATTACTTTCATGTCCGTTGCTTTGTACTTCTGTGCTGCATTCAGAGTCCATACTTTTTGTGATTGTCCATTCTACTAAATCATTTACATGCTTTTCATGGGCATTCTCTTGAACATTCATCTCATTCTTTCTGATGTGCTGATAGCTTGTTTCGAGTCAGTACAGAGACAAATGGAAGGGCACCATCTTCGTTGTCTGGTATTGCATACAAATCTCCTTCCCCATGCCCTTACATTTTGAATTTCTGTATGGCTCCACTTCTCATACCTAAAGTGTCTCTCCTTTCCCTCTTGAGACTCTACGTATGTGATTTATTTGTTCTGGCCTCTTCTTACATCTCCATCTCCCTGCAGCCACCTGGGTGCTGTCAGTAATCTAGCCTTAGGCCCATGTTTGGCAATGCCATTTTTATCCATGTTTAAAAAACAAACAAAAAAATCCTTTATAAGCTGATCTATGGGCTGTGAATCCATCCTGAAGAAATTTTTCTTCTATTAAACCAGTTTGAAGAGAACAGACTCCTGGTATTGTGCATCATCTGCATATCTTGTGAAGAATTAATTGTTGTTAAAACTTTATATTCCAAAGACAAGTCAGTGCTTTGTAGCACCTGCATCCCATGCTGTGTCTATAGGTTCCTGATGCTGCAAACACTTTGGCTTGTGAATAACTCTGAGAGTGAGCCTGTTCAATTCTGGATTCATTCAAATGCGCTTAGATTACTCTTGTGAGTGAACATGGATGTGATCTGAGCCTGTACTTGACTATTTTTTTGTGCAGTAGTCCTACCTTTGTTTCTTTTTTAGGGCTGTTGAGTATATAGTGAGATATTTCATTTTTTGGTTTAATTAAGAGGCTTCCTTTAGCCTCTATTGTGAATTCATGACTTGAACACTTCACTTCAAATCTATGTCAGAACAGTAATGCTAAAAAATATTTTAAAGTTGTTAGATTTCTATCTTGTTACTTTACCTATTTTGAAATTGATAACTTTCGTATATACTTATTAAAAATGTTATTTTCAATCATTTTGAAAATGTGATTGAAAGTAGTTGTGTACCACTTTTTGCCGCAGAATCCTGCCTCAATACATAAAAGCTTGTGAATTAATGATATTCCAAGTCATGTGGTGTGGAAAATAGCTGCTTACTATTATTAGCAGGTCTCAAGTGTCTCCATGCCTAGTAGCTTGACTCAATGGTGTGCTGCCACACAGTTTAGTAACCTAAGCCAGTACATTGAATTTACAGCATATTCAGTGACTAATCAGGCCCTTTACAGAAGCTACATTAATCTTCTTGTTCTTTGTTTTACCTTGTATTTCTGTGGCAGTTACCTGTATAACTTGGATCACAGCCCAGTATTATTGGGCTGACAAGCACACAGCAAGTAGACCTGCCTGGAAAAAAAGTGTACGGAAAAGCTTTTCACCAGAAAACTAGTCAGGTTGAAATGGAAGTGTGTCAGTAGTAACAAGAAAGTGTCTCAATAAATTATTTCAACTTTCTGTCTTTGTTATCAAAACGAACTTTTCATTGCAATGTTTATATTAGATTACAGGCTGAACTGAAAATATTTTATCTGATGATGTAGCTGTTATAACTAGTATTGTATTGTATGGTATATAGCTTCATTATTAGTCAGATAAAAGGATGTATTTTTTCCAAATTTAGAACTGGGTGGGGGGCAGATTTTAATACATGAGAAAACTTGAGAGTTGGGCTTTTTGTTCTGATTTGGAAAGAAAACACTATTCAGTGTCTGAATTTCCCCCAGAACCTAGCTTCTATTTTTTCAGTCAAACTCTGTCCCCTGCCTATTTGCAACCTGTTAGCTTGAGGGGATAAGGAGAGAATGTTTTTGCCAAGGAACTGAGATGCAGAGAGATTAAGAGCTGTGTTCAGACTGCTTAAGCTCCTGTATATACACAATATTAGGTATTACTGAGTCAGACATCTCTGAGGATGCCTAGAGAGTGATTTAGAGTCTCAGAGCTCTAGTCACACTGAAAGGCAATGGAAGGGAAGAGAGACCTGAGTTTTTGTCAGTGCCTGTAACCACACAATGATACATCTACTACGAGGAAGGAGATCCTTGTGTAAGTGTTGTGCGCACTGCAGGCTTGCTACTCAAAGTACAGTCCTTGCTAAAATGAAGGGTTGAGCCTAGGGAGTGCCCAATTCCTTTCCTGGCAGGGAAGCAACTCAGTGCTACCCACTGCAAACAGGTTTTGGCCGCTGAGGTCAAACATGCAACAGTTCCCTGGTGTTCCCCAGTGACTCCAGTGAAGACATGGAGGTTTTGGGGTTCTCTGGTTCCTTTCTCTGCTATATCTCATGCTCCCTCTGTGACCTTCCAAGGTGCTTAGTCTCTGTTCTCCGGTTTACCAAACATGGGAAAGACAACACTGTCCTTCCCTAACAGAGGTGCTACAGACAGAAATCCATGGATGCCTGAAAGCTGCTGCAATTTTACGTTGATGTTTTTTAAGGAAAAACATAGGTAGAAATGCTGTCTCTTACATTGTGGTTTGTCTGGAGCGGAAAGTACTGAGCTGTGCTCCTTACTCCTAGTGTAATGGTGAGCACTATGAAGGTACTTAGATACAATGGGGAACATCTGCTTTTGCCTTGTACTTTGGAGTAAGGGTGCAGTTTGGAGATGAATCTATCAATCATCCCTGCATGCCATGGTTTTGCTCTCATTGTAGACTGATCTCAGATTGTGTGAACTAGATTTGTTTGGGAATAAATGAAACCAAAAGCTGCACTCCAGTTGTGCACTCCAGATGCTGGTGGCATTCAGCCTATGGGAGCAGACTAGATCTAGTTTGAAGTAAAGCCCCCACAGTGCACATAATGTGGATACTGGGCCCTCTCTACCATCTGTTCTGTTCTACAGACCTGCTTCCACTGAGCTGCACTAGTTGATAACATTGGCACAGCTGATAAAGCCACACAACTTTTACAAATTAATTCAAATCTCAAATAGGAGCAATTTAGCAAATGAAAGATCATGTTTATAGGTTTGTGTTCTTAATGATTTGCCAGACCTGATCAGACCTAATATACAGTCAGTGCAATATTCTATCTCCAACCATGGCTAGTACTAGCTGTTACACAGGAGGGTGCAAGAAATCTTACTGTGGAAAGTTGATTAGCCTGCCTGGGAAAGTTTGTCTAACCCTGAAGTGAAGAGTTAGAGATCTTGAATTCTGAAACATGAGGGTCTCTGTCTTCTCTGAAATCATCCACAAGACTGGATGTACTTGTTACTGGTATCATGGTCATTTTTAGGAGCCTTCACAGTGAGTTTGGTGCATTAAACAGATCCAGGTCAACACTGTTCTGAGGTTTGGCTACTGCTTTAAAGAATATGAGAGCAAAGATTTGTTCTTGACATAAAACTCTGAGTAGCTCTCTGTTTCATGTTTAATAAGTTAGCAATCTAGTATACTAAAGAAATTTATTTGCTTCCTACTTAGACCACAAGTTCTCCCTTCCTGGCTGGGCTTGTCATAGTGCTCAGTGAAATACTGAGAGGCTGCACAGTTGCAGCTCTGTTGGTTGCTTTGTTTTGCTCTGGCAGTGATGCCAGGCAAAATTTACAGTTTGTAATTCATGGACTAACTGCTTTTATTAATGAGGATGAGTTCTGAGTCTGTTCATAAGTGTTTTCCTGTTGTTTGCAGGGGACAGATTGTATGCCATACTTGTTCTCTGAGCTGCCCTGTGATCATTATAGCTGTGGGCAGGGTCATTTAAACCAGCTGCACTGGGCTAACTGTCTGCTCTGTGAAATGAGCCATTGTTCTGGATCCCATTAGCTTGTTTATTTCTGCTGTGCTTTGGGTGGGATGGTCTGCTTGGGAGACCTTTAACTGAGCATCAGGGAGTATTGCACAGTCAAATGATTTGGAGATAGGAAAGTATTTTTAATAATGCTTAACATAGCTGCTTGAATCATTGGGCAAGGCCATTTGGGAATGCACAAAAATTTGGTGAAACAGGTGATGGCAGGGGCAGAAGCATTTAATGAAGCCTCATGGGTAAGGCTGGCTAACCTGGAGATGGGCAAAGGTTCAACTCAGACTTGTTTCTACTGCTTATGAACTTGCTGTCTGGGTCTTCCAAGCACGAGTTTTCCACTATGATTATATTGAGCTTTCTATGGTGCCCATGTTGGGGTGAATGTATTGCCTTGTAGCATCTCTCCCAGTCTTCTCCAGTAGTAATTTTTTTTTTCTGGTCCCATTAATCCACACACCTGTCACTATGGGTGGCAAATCTAATCAAAGTTAACCATTTCAGGGAAAAAAGTTCAGACCCCAAGTTTTTTCAGGATGAGGAAATCTGGTGGTGCCCTGCAAGGGTAGCAAAATATTTGTTGATCAAACCAAGTCAGTATTGAAGCTTCTGACATATAGTTGCCTCACTGCACCCCAACTCTGCTATTGCAAAACCCCTTGCCTGTCTTGGCTTGCAGCACCCATTACCATTTCGCTACAAGCTCTACATTCTCTTTGCTGTTTCATGCCATGCAGGCTCCCATGCTGTATCCTTCAGACCCAACTTAAAGCCCCTCTTCTAGTCATCTCCCTTTCCAATCTATGTTTATATGTATCTTTTCAAATAATGTCTCTGCTACTCAGTGTGATTCATAACTAAGGCATATTTCTACAAATAGAAATTCACCTGTGGTTTTCCTATAGAGCAAAGTGGTGGTACCAAATGCTAACAAATGTTTTGCTCATTTAAACCATCTTGTGTCAGTAACAGTATTGGTGAAGACTTGATAACCCAGGCTTTAATGTGTGCTGGAAGCTGGAGAATGTGCTAAGATCTGTGGAGTGCTTGCACTTTGCTTTGTGGAACCTGCCTGTGTTGTCTCTGAAGATATTGCTCCTGGAGTCTATTAAGTCAAGCATGCTGCGCTCTGTCCTTCCTTTTCCTGTGGGAATCCACCATTCTTGTCTGTTCACATTTTGTGAGGATATGCTGAGAATAGTGGCACTGGAGGAACTGAAAGTCTGAAGATATACCTGTAGAGAATTTAAGTCTCCAGCAGGGATTGGAAGTGGTAATGCATTTGTAATGGATACTCTCTACTGAGTTAATTAATTTTCTTTTGGTTTTAGGCACTGGAAAGTGACTATGTCAGTGCACACCTCCATTGCTGGATAGATCTGATTTTTGGCCACAAGCAACAAGGCTCAGCTGCGGTGGAAGCAGTTAACACCTATCACCCTTACTTCTATGGAGACAAGATGGACCTCCACAACATCAAAGATCCTCTGATTAAGAGCACCATCCTGGGTTTTATCAGCAACTTTGGACAGATACCAAAGCAGGTACCACTTTATCATGAGAATAGAAAGCATAATTTATTTTGATCTTGCAGTATTTCAACAGGAAAGCAAGAATAGAAACTTAAATCAGAGACATCTTCTGGTTTAAATCTGCTGAAAGACAGGCTATAGACTTCTCCAGATGGTGTACTACATCAGTATGCATGCACACACGTGTGTGTTTCCACTTTCTAATTGTGCTGTTCCTGTTGTATGCCATACAGCTATGGCATCAAATCTGATTCTGCTCCTTCAGAACAGTCACAAGTAACCACTAGTCTGGGAATGGGTACAGTCAAATAAAAGCAGCTCAAAGTCTCACCTATACTTTTCTCTCTTCTCCTGAATTACTGGGATTAGCTTCCTATCTCTGTGAGGAAAGGATGTAGTCTGATGAAAATGTAATAAGGATAAGATTTTATTTTAATGAAGAGATTCATGTGTGATAATACTGGAGTTTATGATTAAGGATTTAAACAGATGTCTCTCCTGCATGATCTGGCAAATAGAGACTAATTTTTCAATGCCACTCCTTTGTTCTAGCTCTTCATGAAACCACATCCATCCAGGAATGCCCAAGTGAAAAGTTCAGGAAGAGAGACTGTGCTGTCCTTTCACTCAAGTGGAATTCTTCCTCCTTTTATGAGCAGCCTGCAAAATCTGAAACTCTCACCAGTTACAATAAAAGGTGCTGCAGGGGCTGTGCTCCATTTTCTGAGCTAATAAGTACAGAATTCTTGGATGGGGTGAATCTGGATTTTCAAGAGGACAGAAATAGCCACACAGCTTTGTATGACTTGGTGCAATCGAGATCCCTTCTGCCAATTGTTATTTGTGTATGTGTGTATTGTGAATGGGCATTGAAAACACTCAAATACTCAGGAGAAATCTTGAAACTTCTGTTGTAGAGTTCAGAACAGATTTTTTTTTATATAAAATACCTAAATCTTTTCTGTCTTCTACATTCTGGATATGTTAAATTGAAACATAAACGTCACTGTTTCCCATTCACTTTCTCTCTTTTCATATTCAACAGCAAAGTAAATATTGCTTGTGTTTCCCCACTTCTCAATCTTCAAATCTTTTCTTTTTCTTCATCTTTTTCTTGGTCTGCTACTTTTCTTACCATAAAGAAGTCTGGAAATTTCAGTGTATCTACTTTTTCGTCCCACAGTGGTGTTCTTTACATCACACATCTTTGTGAGGACAGTGGGCTCCCATAGCTGTACTACAGAGGCTGTTGGTGACAGGCCCAGCAATCTCTGTATTGCATGGCATAAGGCAGTCTGCCAATGAAAAGGAGCTTAATGACACTGCTGTTAAACCCCTTCCTTTGGAGCATGTCACTCCCTCTGCATGGATTTATGTGGTCCATTGGAGAGGAGTGTTTCCACTATTCTGTCTGGAATCTCAGTTGTAGAGTGGATTTCTGTCTGTGGGCCACAGCACTGAGCTCAGTTGTGGGAATTGCCAGCCTCACCACACAAGCTGTGAAAGGAGGAAAGTTAACGTAAGTGCTCTAAAAACAACAGAATTAAATATGTTCTCTGTCTTGTCAGACTATCCCAAGGGAGCTATTGGGCATATTGTTCATACTGAGAAAGGCATTCTGGCTGTCGAAAAAAATAAAGTTTTGATGCCTCCTCTTTGGAGCAAAACATTCTGCTGGGGATTTGAGGACTTCACCTGCTGCTTTGGCAACTATGGGTCTGAGAAGGTAAATAAGAAAAAGTCTAAGCATTCCAGAAATGAATGATATGGTGTGGTCTTTGGCTAGTTTGGGCACCCATTTCAGAGGCTGTTAGGGAGCTGATTTCAGAGGAAGCTGTACAGGACTTTCTCACAGTCAAGCTTCTTGAGGAATCTCAGGTCGGATAGCCCAACAGAGTACAAAGTCATTCTACATGGCTCAAAAATGTGGCATTTCCCCTCTAAATTATCTCAAGCTTTCCTTCCAGTGACTGTGTTGTCCACCAAAATGAGGGACAAACCCCATTTCATAGGTTGTAAGGACAATACAAGGTCTCCTGGCCACTGATTAGAATTTCATTGTGCAGAACTTTCTGCTGGAATTAAGATAAGACCATCTGTCAATTCCCCTTTGGCTCCCAAGCTTAGCCCAGTGCATTCATTCAAAATAATAATGTCTTCTATTCTAGAAAGGTAATACTCTTACTTCTTTGCTGTTAAAAATCAACGGTCTATGTCATCACACTGCTTGTTAGGGCACTTGACAGATCCAGTTTCTTCCTCTACCACAAACACACTGATTTTTGGGTGTGTTTGGGACAATGTTATGACATGCAAAGACATCTGAGTTAGCTTGGGTACTAGAATAGCAGAATACATCATTCAGCAGGATACTGACTTGGGTGTTTGTACAAGACACATCATTATGTTTTTACAGACATACACGCAGTCAATGGAAGTGAAAAAGCCATGAGATGTATTTTACCTTCTGCTCACTGTATAAAATTATTGAGAGTTTTCTCCATTGATTTCAATTAAAATCAGTGCTTAGCAATTCATAGTGCTGCTGTAGGTATAAATTAACTTGTTTTGTCTCTTCAAAAGTCAGGGCGTCACTGAGCCTAATGACACTGAGCATAGTGGGTGTGATTACACAGTCACTGTGAGAAGTAGTTAGGAGTCCAACTTGAGTTCTCTCTGGGTCAACAGTGCCTCTGGACATGAGATTAAAAGAACTTTTTGTCCTCGTTGTGAATAGGTAAATGTTTGTTCTGTCTGTGGTATGGTTTTTGTAGCTGTGCTGTCCAGCTCCACCAGACTCTTTAGCACCATAGTGTTGTCTTGGTGGTGTGGGAGAGAGCTAATGCAGAATGTGAGCAGAAGGATGTTTATATTGTAACTGTAGCAAAGTGTAGTAGACCTGACCTTGGTGTAGACTAGTTTGGGTGCTGCTAACAGAGCCATTGGCACGGAATGGAATTTAGTGCTTTGGCTTTTGTCTTTTCAATCCAAGTAAGAGGAGGTTTGCAGAGCCTGGCACTAACTCTGTTAGCAGTGGCCATCACAGCCTGAGCTTTCTTTTTAATCTACAGTGAATGTTTGCATTCTGTCACTATATGGTGGCAGAATGAGCTTGCCTTCAGTTATGCAGGAAGTCTGTGGCACAAGAGGGATTGCGACTCAGGTCTCCTAAGACTTAAGACACTGACCTTTGCCCAGCCTTCCTGCTTGGCCCCTGGAGGATGGCACAGCTGCATGCAGCCACAGCTGCGTGCAGACACAGCCTTTGCATGTACATATTATGCAGCTGTGCTGTGAGCACAGAGAGTGGTTAAGATGAGCTTTTCTTACCTGGATTTAAAGAAATGGAGGTTCAGTTCTGAAAATTGAATCTACCATTTGGTATTAACAAATACATGGTATCACCAGATGAGCATTTGACTTAAAGCTGCTTTCTTGCACAGAACGTGACTACATTTGAGTGCATGGCAGACTGGGGAACGTGCCTCTGCGCTGTGTGTCCTTCAGCAACTACCATAATCACATCTGGAACAAGCTCGGTTGTGTGTGTCTGGGAACTTTCCTTGGTCAAGGACAAAGTGAAATGTCTAAACTTGAGACAGGTCAGTACTGTGGCTCTTTTGCTATAGAAACTTAATGAAAACTAAAAGATTAGTTTCTTTCTCTCAGATGATTGGCAGAGGAAACACCTTTGGGTGAATGAAGAAGGGAGAAAAACCCCAATAATCATCAGTATCATGTGACAGCCTGTTATCAGGTCAGGAGCTGGTAATATGCCTTAAACTCACAGCTTATAAACTCTGTTATAAACTCTGCTTGGGTTTTGGGGGGGGGGGGTTTCCATGTTTGGTAGCATTTCCAAAGTTTATCACAATCAAAGAAACAATGAAGATAAGGCATATGCTCTTCTTACTTGAAGTGCAGCCAACCCTTGGATTATTTTCAAAAACCAGTATCACCTGGAGATGCTTGTAGTTCTTTTAGGGCTGCTGCAGCAATGGATAGGATATCCAAAACACCCTGAGAACTTAGCTGATGGAGATGAAGGCTCAGCTAGGCAAAGTTCTCGATCATTTTCTCTCAACCTAAATTCAGTACATAAAAGGTTTATCTGTCACTCCATGAGGTAGGGATGCATTCAATAAGAATGATATGGTTTGTGTCCTCATTGTCCAAAGTCCTTTAGTGGTTGTTGATTTGGAGCTCATCTATAGTCATCAAACAGCTGTATAAATACTATTTCATTTACAAAAATGAATTCTCGTTCAAGATTTATGTGGTTCAGCTATGGTGAGTTCTCAACTTTACAAGTAAAGCTAGAGTACACCTCTATCATATCTGAAAGGCAGCATGGGACCCTTTTCCCCCAAGAAAGAAAGAGACAGAAAATGCTCTGCTACTTTTAGGCAAACTAATAAAGGGTTCACTGATCAGCTAGGTCACCAAGTGTTAGAAGCTTCTTCTGTTCATTTGCTCTGGAGGAATATTCAGATGATATTTCAGTGCTTTCCATACCCTGAGCCAAAACATATTTTATTTGTCATTAATTGACGTGAAAACTTCAATGTCTGTTGGGATGCCAGAGAAGTATTTAGATCTTCATTTATCTGAAATTCTTGTGTGTTGAAATTAGGGGGGGAACTGTGTTTAGAGCAGTCTCTCTTCTGCGGTTTGTGATGTTTCCTGCTTGAGAAGCCAGAAATATTAGACAAGATCTTCAGTGATGACCTTTTAATCCAGCTGGTTATTATTCCAAACCAGGACATGGACATAGAAATGGAAGAAATAGCAGTAGAGAAAAGCATAAGCATTAATCTTCATCAACATCAAAATGATACCAGTCAGAAGGTCAGTTTAAGTTTCAGGCAACTGTTTGAAGAGGCTGTCTTTTTTTCTCTCCAATATAATGCCTTTCTCTTTAACAATCTAAAATCAGCTTTGCTGATGTGGTCCACTGTGATTAATCTGGTATTAGCCGAAGTCCACAAAGTGGCATGAGATCATGCAATGACCAATTCTGTATTTTTTCCTTCTCTTTGCTAGCAGAGGCTTTTTTTTGATGACTGTCTGGCATAGATGTAAATTTGAACTACAGTTCTAAATGTCTTCCAGTGAATTACTTGCTACTTTCATGTAATTCACTGTTTCATGGTGGCTGCTTTTTCTGCTGAACAAAAAAAATTGTATCATCTTTCCTGAGAGTGAGCTTTGCTTAAGTAAAGCTGATGTGCTATAAAGTGGATGCTATTCACTTACCAGCTGTCTCATGGGACTGACATATTCTGGCTTGGAATGTAGTAAAGTACAGAAACTATATTTCAGCAGAAAAAGTCGCTTTTCCCTCTCTAGCAGGAGCTGCTTCCAGTTTCGTGGAACACTAAAGATTGACCATAATAGCCTCAATATTGATCTATGCAATTTACCAGTTCCCTCAGTGTTCATGAGCAAAGCGATCTGTGCAATCCGGCTCCCAGAATTTCTGGGCCAAATTAAACCCTAGACTTGGAGAAGCATCTGGGCAAGCTGTGCTGTCTGCCACACAGACCTCTCAGGGAGGTGTTGAGCATAGTTGTGAAGTGTCTCTGTCATGTCAGCCAGCTAAGTTGGATGGTCAAACTTGGTTTAAGTTTTCATGGACTAAGCATTCCTGCAGTGAAGCTGGTCTTCTTTTTTGTCTTTTGATATTTGTGAACTTACTCTGGACATAGGCCTCACAGTTCCTTCTGCAGACATGCTGCGGGTTATTTCCTATTAAGGGAAAAGCTGCCAGTCTTTGCAGAGCAATAATGAGAAGACAGTAGAGAGCTAAAAGCATGCGACTGTTTTTGCATGTATATGTATTGAGACACTGGTGGATTGAAGCTGAGATTATAACCGGGCTTGGGTCTAGCTCTCTCTTCCACCCTCAGGTTGTATTTAAGGCGCTTCACTGCTATGTAGGATCTTTCTGGGTTAAAAAGAGGAAAAAAAAGGGGTTTATTAAAACTTGTGCAGGAGCTCAGCTTGGCTTGGCTTGGCAGTTTGGATGCTGTCACAGTGGGTATGTTTTCTTTCATGCTTTGGAGGAAGGAGACGAGATTTGGAGCCCTTGAACTTGCCTTGTCCCAGACCTTTTTGCAGAGCTCTTGTGCAGTTCTTGAGCACAGGCACTGGATTATGCCCAGCCTTTTGTAAAGAGACTGTTCTACAGCCAGTCCAAAGCTATTGCTGAGCCTTCTTTTCTGTGCTCAGTTGAGAGTGTTTCTGACCTCTGAAAACTACTGTTGGAGACCCCATTTTGTGCCAGTATTTTAGTCAACAGTTCTTGTGAATGGAATAAATCACAAGCTGAAGTTCATCCCTTGCAGTTGCAGGTCACCTTCAGTAGCACGTAACCTGCTGCAGCTCAGCTTCTTCACCAGTGGATTAATGTTTGAACACTGTTGTCCTAGTAACCTTGGCAAGTGGCAGCACATGTTAGCCAGCAAGAGTTCAGTCTCGCAGTCACACACTGGAAAAGAGTATGAGATGTATTTGCAAAAATCATCTGGGACATGTGGCTCTCCTGCTCCATGCTGAACTGAGACAGACCCTGAAGATGTGCTATTTATGTCATGTAGAGAAAGCCAGCAGGGAATATGCATTTACTGTTAAAACTAATATTAAAACTTGTGGGTCTGATTTTTCACAGTAAGGCAGCTAAAAATTGAGCCCTAAAAGGCTTTTTAGGAAAGCTGTGAAGGACTTTTTCTCTGTTGCCCTACAGGCTTCACTGTCATTGGTGGTTATGCAGCAGAAATGTATACTGCTGTTACTTGAGAATGCTGCATTGAACAATTGTCATCAGTACACTTCAATCTGTGACTTCTATCTGTGCTATTAAATTGCCTAAAGTGTAGTCTTTTTTTATGAAACTGTTTAAATAAGGCTAAATTGAACAGGGCACTCCTTGTGTCTCTGGAACTTATAAAACAACAACAAAAGAATGTTGTGTAATGATGAGAGAGAAAGGAATTCCTATATGGCTTTAAAGCAAAAATTCTCCTTGAATGCTGTTTTTCTTAAATAAAATTGGGAAAATATTAGTTCAGAAAAACAGAAAGATAAGACTGAGAAGGTCACTGAAATATATCCTGCTAAGTTTTATTTCAAAATGCTTTTTAAATTTTGAGAAACAGTAATTTCCAAGCATAAATTTTACTGAAAACTGCATGGACTGAAGTGAAAAATGATGTTTTGCTGCTGAGCCTAAAGCACTGTCGTAGAGTCTGAAATGTATGCCAAGGGCACTGAGTTACTGTGTAACTCAGGGCAAGTCATATAATCTCTTGGAGTCTCAACTTTCTTCAACCACGATTTGAGGACAAGGATGCTTCTGTAAGATCCTTTGGTATTTCCCCCTCATAGCCTTTTCGGTTCTGCAAAGAATGACTAAGTTGCTTGTTCTTACTAAGCAAATGACAGTAGGACTGTGGTTCCCTAGTAAATCAGCCATCCTCTGCTGTGGTTTATTGGTTGCTTTTTCCCCACCAGGCTTTGTATGGGCACACTCAGGCAGTGACCTGCCTTGCTGCATCTGTGACCTACAGCATATTCGTGAGTGGATCCGATGACAGAACCTGCATCATTTGGGACCTGAACCAGCTGACGTACATAAACCAGCTTCCTGCCCACGGGGCAAGCCTCTGTTCTGTTGCCGTCAACAATTCAACAGTAAGATCTTCATTTATCATCTTTTTTCTGATGCATCCATGAACATTTCATAATAATTTAATGGGTGCTCTTCCCAACATAAAAACATCCTGAGAGTCTGATACATTGATTTTTTTTTTTTCTTTCTACAGAGATTGCTAATAGTGTTCTTAATGATGAGAGGCAAGCACTAAAAGCAACATCTTAGACTGAGTAGCTGAGTAGAAGCATCTTTGGATGGGTAGATAGCAGGATTAAACAACTTTTCATTTATGGAGCATGAAGTATTATCCTAGTAGCCCCTGGCTTTGGCTCACCCATAACCTTATTCACTCCATTATTTCATTAATTTCTCCTGACATTCATGCAGCAGAGCCATGTCAGCTGAGACATATTAGACTTCAGTCTGCCACCTCAGCTGACAACTACCTTACACCTTTGTGGTAACGATGTTGGCTTTTTGCTTTCCCTTCTACTCTCAGGTGCAGGGGGAGCTCTTGATAGCAGTGGGTATAACACTGTTGTGGTCTGTGCCTGGCCAGAATTGCATGCATGTTGATAGGAAAATATTCTGTATTGGATTTTACTATAAACACTCTGGATGAGATTCTTTCCAACCTTCTACCTCCCAAAAATATTGCTTGCACGTTTGTGTTTTCTGTCTCTGTTAATAAACCAGAGCAGCGTTCCAGCTGCTCAGACAATTCGAGGTTGGATCCAGTACTGGAACTTGCACCAAGAAAGGCAAAATTGAGTTCATAGCAGTAAGAAACCAAGTAGACATTCTCTACTTAGTCTGTGCCAAAACAATCATCTCATATCAGATCTTTATTAACCATGCAGTCTGATGGTTAGTAATTGAGGGTGGGGATTAATTGGTCTGTTCAGTGCCAGCTCGGCTCCCAGCCCCAGAGGTCCTGGTTAGTGTAAAATGGCTAGTGGCTTCAGCACGCCAGTTCAGAATACCCTGGTGTTCCTTATGAAGTCAGCTGAAGCAGTCCCAAGCATTCAGAAGTGACTGGGGGGGCTGGCACAGAGCATGGGCTTGAGACCCCAATAGGATGAAGTCCTTTCCTTTCTATGTCCCAGCCCACCGTTGACAGTAGCCTTTTTAGTTGGTAGCCTGCTCTTCTGGAGCTGTCCAAAACCGAGGTGGTCTGTGCCGGAACAGTCTGGCAACTGATCCAAGCACAGCTCTCCAGCTTGTTGGAGTGCAAATGGTTAAACTGATTGGACAGTAGTCTGCAGAAAGGTTCATTTAAAAGAGGAGAAACCTTAAGAAAGTACAACTGAAACTTCAAGTTAAAAAAGATGAAGGGGTCCATATGTTGTGTATGAACAAACTCTTTTTGACGTTAGCAGAACAGGATGCTTCATTCTGAAAAGTGTTTTTGTTTAAATTTTCTCTATATATTTATATATTATAACATGAATATAGCAACAAAATGTTTTCATTGTGCTAATTATGTATGTTGATTGACACAAAATTACATGTCTGGTAACAAAGCTTTTTTCCTGGAAAATGCAGAATGATTTGAAGCAAACTTTTGAAGGAAACAAATTTCTGAATCACATACTTTCTGAAAGTGAAAGAGAATGAACCTATGAAATAAGAACCCTATACACTTCTTTGTTACGTGATTGTTAGTTTTTATATTTGCTTGAGCATCTAGAAGCTCCGTTTATAGATCCAAATCTCATGGTGTTTGTATCACGTAGACACAAAATAAAAAGGCTGTCCCAAAAAGTTTATAAGCTAAGGAGAATTGTAAAAGTTTGCTGTAATGAATGATTTCAGTTAGTTTTAAATCCCTGGTCTAGACCTGAAAAAACTGTAGATCATTACCAAATGCCTGGACATTTTGTACTCTCATGCAGATAATGTAGCTGAAATTTAATCTCTTTAATTATTGGCAACTGTGTTTCGAATGTGCTATCCTTGTTTTATCTTCAGAATTCTGCCCTGCAGTGTGAAGAGCCCTGGCCCCAAATCAGGCAGGGGTGAAGTACAGTGTTAGTTGATTTAAACCAGATGCATGCTGCTAATTTAAGGGCACGCTGGCCTTTGCAAGAATCAGATTACTTTGCTGACAGTGTTCTATTTAGTTGGTTCTTAGTATGCATCAAAGGTGGAAAGGTTAGGTGGAATTTCAATTAGTAAGTTGATCAGAATGCACTTTTGATAAGATCATTTAAAAATGCAGCATTGGCTCTTGGTTCTGTGTGTTTCTTGCCGCTAAGGGATTACCTGTGTATTTGCTCCTTACGCGCAGTCTTTGGTAAGATTATGCACCTACATGGAAGGGAGAGGAGAGGAGGGATTCATTTGCAAAGGATGTTTTGTGCATCAGAAGTGCAGGTCACTGAATGCTGACCTGGTCGTTGGTCAAATGGAAAACACAGTCTAAATATGCGATGACATTAAATTCCCTGTGAGGGGCAGAGGAGGATTATGAAATCACCAAAGGCTCGCAGCTAAGCAGGTGAACACCATGTCCTTGTTTAAGAGAATGCTTATCTGTAGAACTTAAGAGCACTAGCCCTGGCCCAGAACCTGTGCTAGGCATTCCCTGTGCACAGTCCCCGTCCCTGACAGCAGCTAGGTCAGCTTTTTTTGCTAAAAGCCTGGATTTTCTGGAAAATAGGAAGGGAACATTTAAATAAATGTTTTCATTTAAAAAATGTAAACGCCCCTTCGTTTCTGCATTATCTTGCTAAATCTGAGACAGTTGTTTTGGATTTCTACCATGTAAAAATATCAGAATTTTTCACGAGAAAAAAAAGTCATTTTTACTTTCTCTGGTTTACATCATCTGCCCAGAAGCAAAACAAAGGTCAGAATTTAAGTCAGAGCAACTCTGTAATTTATAATCAGCACTTAAGGGTTGTGAGGAGGATGAGTGTAGGATTTTGAAACACTGCCTCTTGCTTTGTTACAGGGTGATATTATCTCTTGTGCTGGATCTTACCTGTATCTGTGGACAGTCAATGGCCAGCTTCTTGCAAGTGTTAACACCACCTGCAGCCCCGAATGCCGTATTGTTTGCTGTTGTTTTGCTGAAGTGATGGACTGGGACACACGCAGCATCATCATCACAGGAAGCACAGATGGAGTGGTGAGGGTAGGTGGATGGGAGAGAGGAAAGGGAATCCTGATTCACTGTAGACCAGAGGCAGAACTTTGCATCCTAAATGGAGAGACAGAACTACTAAAAGCCCATGCCACTTTCTTAACAGGGCAGCACAGGGCAGAAGCTGACAATCAGAGTAAAATGTTTGCTTCCTATCAATTTTTATCCTCCTCAATGGAAGAGTATTTGCCATTCAGGAAGAGTTTTGAAAATGCGCTTTTCATTCTGGTGTGGTTTTAAAAGCAAAAATTATATTGTCCATCAGAAATATGTTTGAGTCTGGTTTCTGAGAGTTGGTTCACAGCTCAGTTTATTAAGTCATACTTTCTCAGGAGCAGGAATTCACTGCTGATTCCACCTCCAGTCTGGTGGGAGAGCTTCCTGGTTTACTGGCATCCTTATTAGTGTGTCAGCCTCACAACCCTACTAGCTCCCTGCATGCATTTCTCCAGTGTGATGCCCTGCAGCATGGTGGCAGAGGGAGAGATGACTGCAAAATCCTGTTCTGATGTTAGAAGTCCAATTTCCACCCCTTGCTGGGAAGCAGGCAGCTGCATCTCTCTCTTGCTGCATTGTTATAATCCATGCTTTTTCTGTTTTTGCCCTCTTCCCGGCACAGCTGTGGAAGACTGAATACACCAATGCCACAGACCAAGCTGCTGGACTGAGACTGCAGAGAGGCACAATGGAAGAGCCAGGCAACACAGGTATGACTACAGAGTGGGCTGTGAACTGCAGTGTGACTGTGTGCTGCAGACCTTGTTTGGTCTTGAGGAAGAAGAGGGTGTGTGGGCACAGTGGTGTGAAGTAGAGGTGGTGCAGGTAACTGTTACCATTCTGTTACTGTAATCAGCAGAAGTAGCGGGCAGCCACTGCCCTACCTTAGAGACAGAGAGCAGCCCTGAGCCACCAGTCTCATGGCCACATCCAGCCTGGATGAAGCTGAAAGCTTCTTCATAGGCTCTGTCACAGGTTCTGTCAAGCTTGATAGACCACCTTGCTGCATAAACCTATGAAACTAATGAACTATCCTGGCTCCAGAAAGCCCATTCCCTTGGCACCTCTGTTGATGGTCTGTACTAAAGTATACTGGCATAATGTCAGAATGGCCAGTGCCAGATCCTGCCCTGGGATGGAACATGGAAGTTTGTTGTCCTTGCCACCTTAAATGAGGTCAGAGGCCCTTCAAACTGTTGGAGGCCAGCAACACACCCTAGTGCATGGAGCTGTTCATTCAAGGCTGTGCCAAGCTGAAGTTGATACCTGGGAGTTCTCGCAGAGCTGAGGTTAATAACATGATGGGGCTACGGTGTGGACTGGTATTAAAACCACCCCAAGCTCACTTCTCTGTTCTAACAAATACAGGAGCTGAAACCTGCCAGGGAGCTTTAAAGGCACATCCTAAATAGCACAGCTTGCTTCTTTTCACAAGCACATTTTATAAGAGAAAGGAATTATGTTGTTAGTATGTATAATTTACACCACTTATTTGCTGTGATCCTCATTACAGACATTCTCTATTACTTCAATTTTAGGCATACAATTTGCATAAATAAAGAGCTATAGATGTAACATCTGCATAAAAAGATATTATACAGTAATTGGGCATTACCACTGAGATCTTCAGAAATGCTGTTCATGGAACTTGGCATCTACATTACTTAGATTGCTGTGTGAAAATCTTTATACATACAGAGGCATATTGCTAATGCCAAACCAGATGCCCATCCTACCTTTTGTCATGTATCAGAGTAGCTAGAGCCAGATGCTTCTAGGGAACGTGCAAGAACACCAGAGATCCCAGATGTGAGATAGTCTGGCTGTGGTAGCTACATATTTGGCTTCATTGTGGTCTCTAATCAGAGATTGCTGTAAGTCAACGCAAAAGACTCAACATTCCTTCCAAAGTCCTTGTAGTATTCTGTAATCATTTTGCAGATTCTTTCTACATGTAGAAACATCCAATTTGTTTTAAGAATTTCCTAAGTTCTTGTCCACAACTTCCTGTGGCAGAAATTTCCATGTCCTATTTACTCAGGTACGATCACATAGGCATGTCTCTGAACAAACTGAGATTTTAGCTATTTTTAAAATTTATATCTTAAACAGTTTTCTGAACGAGGACTTAAAAGCTGCCCATGGGAGCACAGCAGAATACTCCTGTTTGTGGCTTTTTCAGAAAGGATTGTAGAAGACATGCACTGACCCCAGGCATCTGGTGACGTGTAGACACACACACCTGTTTGCACGTGGGCATAAGGATGCATGTTCTCAGATGCATACAGCAACAGCGTTTAATAAAGAGTTGAGAGGTGTAATCAAAGCAGTGACATGCTCCCTTAAACCATTCATATGACTTCAGAATTATTTTAAATGGCCCAATATTCCCACATCTCATTCTATGCATTAAAGAAAATAAAATTAATACAAAACACAGCCATTAAAAAGACCAAAGTAACTATGATTGAGTTATGTTGTTAAGTGTGTGTGTATGTATGTGTGTGTATGTGAAATGTTCTCAGCATTTAATTATTGGTTCTGTTATGAGCAGATTTAGATAAGTTGATAATACCAGGGCTTTATGTAATTTCTTTTTACTAGGCAATTATGGGCTGTATTATATCCTGGCAGCAAGGTATTGTGGGGCATCTTATTAAGCATAGAGCCAGTGAAAACTGATGAACAATTTTGCTGAACTAGGCATGCAATTTAGAAAGCAATAATACACAAATCCAATTTAGCACACAATTGATACAGCCGCACGTCAGCACATGTAACTATCATAGCCACAAATTAAATTGGGATGGGCCTATTTTACAACAGCACAGGCTGAGATTAAATATATTTGTTCTCAACTTAACAACTTGCTGACCGTAAATAATAACAATCCCATCCATGCTGCCCCCAGACACTTTCTAAATATTTATTTTTGAACCACACAACAGGTAACAAGTGTGGAAAACATCTTGTTCTCTGTCGGGAACTGAATCCCAGCCTTGCCTTGACTGGAAAACCAAGTAAGACCAGCCCAGCGGTGACAGCGCTGGCTGTATCGAGGTACTGTCCTTCCCTTTGCATTGCAGCCGCTGTCCAGTGGAGGGCACTGCGCCAGCCTCGGGGTCTTCACCCAGCCCCAAATCGGCAGGGGTTTTTATTTTATTCTGGAGTTAGTATTACTGTTGGTTTTTGTGGTTTGGGTTTTGTTGTTGTTGGGTTTTTTGGTGGTTTGTGTTGTGGTTTGGTTTTTTGGGTTTTTTTGTTTGGTTGGTTTTTTTTCTTAAATCTCAGTCGAGTCACTCTCAGTCAAATGCAGACACTTGGGAGTTGGCCTGGCTAACTGTATTAAGTGAAGGATGTTGGGGCAGTCAGTGGTCAGATAGACAACCCAGGAGAAATAGCAGGTTTCAGCTAGAATAGCTGTAGAGATCAGTAGCTGCTACACTATCTCTGCACCATAGAAAAAACTCTACCCTAGGAGTTGCTGGAGGTACTGTCTCCCTAAAATGTAAATGGGAAGATTTTGGCCAATGGACAGCTTTGTTGTTAAACTCCACTCAGTTTGCACAGCCAGCAGTATTTGAGTTTACGCAATCCCCCTCCTGCAGTTTCATCTGGCTGTAATAGTTGTTGTTATCTCCTACTCCAGGATGTTACGATGTACTGTATAAAACAGTTGCTGTCTTTCTCTCCAAAAGTGTTGGCATTTTGATAGTTGCTGAAATGATTCCTATATTCTGCATGCTCAGATTTAGAGCATTTCATGAGTGTAATGCTTATATGCATTGAAAGTGGGAAAGTTTGCAGGGGAGGGTTAGTTTCATTAGTGTTGGTGGCACTGCATGCAGCAGAGATTTCAGTGGCTGAAGCCATGATGTTATGTGCTAACAAGTCTGAATTCTGAATCTGGCCAGTAGGTTATTTAACATTCATAGAGTCTCAGAGAAGAGTAAGAGCTTCTGATCTGGCTAGATTGTTCACAACTAACCCACTGAACTCCAGGAAAGTTTGGATCCAATTCTAAGTTCAGTCTTTGAAGTACAAATCTTTGTCTACTCTATATCAGTGTTCTTCAAATTTAACATAAAAGATAACCTACTCCCCTGAATGTTGCATCCTCCTAATGGCTACACATACAGGAGAAAGCATTGATCCTATCTGTGTCTTGTTCTTAAACTTTTTTCTCTTTTTCTTTCTTTCTCAAGAAATTCCTCCAAGCTCCTAGTTGGTGATAGCTGGGGAAGAGTCTGCTGCTGGTCTGTGGATGGGTAGGAAGAAATAGCCAAGAACTCTTGTTTTTTCAGCCTTTTGGATGGAGAGAAAATTACCCTTCAGAGCATGAAAGAATCAGAGAAACTGGAAGCCTATGGTTGCAGACTGAATCTCAAAGGAGTTGTTGGACTGACCCTGCAGTCAAGTCTGATTGAAATTAGAGAATGGACTCCAAAGTTGTGAGAGACACTGACAGACATGCACATAGACAATGAGATTTTGCAGTATTTGTCCTGTGAAAACTTTTGTATTTTAAATGTTATTTTAGATATTGAGTTTGGCATAAAACATTGTATTTCACAAATAATAGCTAGCAAATAAAACTGCCTTGATTATGCCAAAGAGCAATGTAGCTTAATAAAATTCACATATTCTAATTTTAATAACATGAGATCAGAAAATACTGAGGCTTTAAACAGATGTTAAGTGAGTTTGTTGCGGTATCTTTGTTCTTACTAACATGCAGGTATGTTAATATATCCATTCCTACTCTTCCTCCTTCCCTGAATCTGCATGAAAATGTATGCATGCCTTCTGAAAAGCTATTTTGTTTGCAAAGTAAAGGTAGGAATTCCCAGGTTGATAGTGGTGCCTTTATCGAGCCCCATTGTGGACATGTGTTACAGTGCAATCTTTAGTTTCCTAATCTCTGACTTGTTTTTTTCGTAGTGAGCAAGGCAGGCAAAATGCATGGAATGGGTGAGGATGAAGATCTGACACAGTTGGTTAACATATTCTTTCATTCTCCTCCTTCACTGCCTTCTTTCCTAGCTTTGTCTAGATGATCTGTGGAATATCAGTGTATAAAACGTACTTCAAGATTTACCTTCACAATCACCCTGCATGGTAGAAGTGGGTATTTGTGGCATAATAAATTTAAGTGCCATTTGTGTCCCTAATGGAGATGGAGGAACTGTGAAAAATCAAGCTCCTTAACATGTTACGATAATTTGAAGGAGCTAAACTGACAACCTAGCTCCCTCTCTCCCCTGCCCCTCCTTGACCTGGTAAAGAAATTGAGTATCTTATCTTACACACAGAAGGGCTGAGTACCCACTTAGGCAGAGCCACTTCCTGAACATCACAGACTGGGTCAGGGCAGAGCCAGGAAGAACACGAAGGACATTATGGCCATGAAGGCCCTTGTGTTCATACCACCAAACACAGCCCTGAACAGACAGAGCTGGGAGAGTTCCCTGATTTCCGCTACACTGGGACTGGTTAGCACTGCAGGATTGTAGTCCTGTGTGTGCTGCACTGGGCAGTCAGAGATTGAGGAACGTGAGGAACTGCTATATGCCAAAATCTTGGTGCTAGAGACTTGCCAGCATCATTTGAAAGAATCTGGATTAGGAGACAGGTTTTTACCAGTTGTCTTCTAACTACACCATCAACTTTCTTCTTCTTGTAGGGCACTGCTTTGTTAATGACTCTTATTTTGAATTATGTTGCTGAATGAGAAAGACTGCCTATGGCAAACAGCTTCCTTCCTTACTAAGTGCTGAGACATGTCCCCGCCCTAACCCACCCCACAGCTTGGTCTAACCTCCACAGTGAGTGAGGTAATTGCCTGTAGAAAATGTAGTAATTAGAGGCTAGCTCGTGATGCAGACATACAAGGAAGACTGTATTATGTCTACACAGATGACCTGGCTGGTTATCCTTTCTAACCTCCAAGTGTGTGACTTGATGTCTCAAATACTATCCTTTCTGTGCTCAGTGAAACATACACTGAAAACAGGCCAAAACGCACCAAAGTTTTTGCAATCAAAGTAACCCTATGGAGCAAAGGTGGACCATGCCCATCTTTCCTTTTCTTGAGGACTGGGGAAAGGTCAATTGTCACAGAATTCAACAAAATTAAGTACACTGTTTCTTTCCTCTTCCTTCTGCACATTCCTTAAAAATAACCTGTGATTTGGATACTTGGACTCCTGTCAGCTGTGAATACAGCTTTACTGAACCATGATAAAGGTGATTAAGAGCCATGAAAGAAGCTCACTACCTATGTTTTAATTTACCTAGTATGCATCTTGATAGCTTGCTAATTGTGTCTCCTCCTTTAGCCTTTTCATGCAGCCTGTCTGCAAATAACAGATACTTCCTTTCCTAGAGCCGGCACTGGCACCTACTTTGCAGCCTGGACAGCTGCACTAATGGCTCCAATGCTCTAGACATCAGCCTGACTTTGTTTGGTGTAAGAAGAGGCTAGCTGTAGGCTAGCCATGCATGGATTTGACAGGCTCATCTCCTTGTGCCTAACATCAGTTGTCTTACACCTTCAAGAGAAGGATGAGGTGCATCAGCTGTTTTGGATCACTAGAACAAATCCAAAGTGTGCAAGTGTGAATGGAAGTCAGCAGGTTACCAACTAATGTCTTCCTGAGTCAAGCTTGTTCTAATGTTCAGGGAGTTGTAATTTGGGAGAATATAAAAGGCGAATGGATAGAAGTGGGTTGCAATTTCCCCCTGGTGAAAATTCTGGTTAGGAGTGATTTTTTGGTTGAAAAAGTTTTGGTTTCTTCTCTAGCTCTAGAGGATCTTTCCTCAGAGTTGTAAGTCATGGGAAGAAATTCATACTGTGAGTACCAAAAGCACCACTCCTTGCTTGCAGAGTTAAGGCACAAATGTAAGCATGTTGCAGTCATCACATTCCCTAGGTCTGATACAGCCAGTGTGTGCAACAGTGGTAGAGTGCTACCTGGTCATTTTTCTGCAGGCAAGTCTCTGTGACATGAACTTTTTGCTAGAAAGTTGTAATATATGGTTGAACAATTAGCTGAAACTAATGCTCTTACAAGCACCTACTTTTATATTTGCGTTGGTGTCCTGTGTATTTGATAAATGATGAATGTCCATGAAATTCTCTCAGCTCTAGATGTGGAGGTAGCTTTCACTGACACATAGACAAGACTTGGTGCTAGCTCAGGGGCAGTAGTGGTGCCTACTTGGTGGGTATCCTGATGTGATACTCATTCTCTCAGGGCCGCGTGGGATGTAGGGGTAGCAGATCTAGAACATGCTTGAAAAATTAAGCAAGTAGAGCAATTCCACAGCAAATACTTTGAGCACAACTCCATTGTTGCTGTAAGTGGCACAGTGTGAACATCAACAGAGTGTTGTAATTATCTCCGAACCAACTTTTGCAAGGGGTAAGTAGCTCAGGGTGAGAATTACCCTTAAAAGAAATCCAATCCCATTAGGATAAGAAATGCAGAAAAAAGGCACAGTCTTACCTCTGCCCTGTAGGGAAAACAAGAAGAGAAATGTGGAACAGCACAACCTTTATGTGACTTTAAAAATCAGTTTAATCTAATCGAGGATCATAAACCCTAAAATGCCTTAATCACACTTATTTGGTTATTGCATAGATGATCTTGCTTCCTTGTTCGGCGATAGAAGTCTTATAAATGTTACAGTGAGCATTAAATACTGGCTGATTTCTGTAGCTTTCTGTTGGCTACTAAACACCAGAGCTGCCTGTGCATTGCCGGGCCTTTGCATCCTCATAAAAAAGAATTTGCTCAAACCTTTTTTGAGAAACCCATGCAAACCGATCTGTAACTCCCACAGGAAAGTTTCCCCTGTGATTGTCACCATGTGCTACTGTTTCCAAGTCCTTTTCATACAGGGATCTCAAAGCTTGTTACAAGAGGGTATTGGTGAGAAGATCATCTCATTCATGATTGCCTATGGCTGTCACAAGGGAAGTTATCTGAGAGCCATATGAGCTAAAATAATTTGCAGGAATATGCTCCCTTCTGCATGAAAATGCAGCCTGTTATGCTTGTCTCTCATTTTTTGGGAGGGACATCCAAAGAAAGTTGAAAAAGGAGCCCAGAAAAGCTCTGGACCTGATCCCAGCTCTCTTGTCTCCTCCCACTTGGTACTGAGCACCTCTGAGCCAGGTAGGTGGAGTGATTTGTTTGCTTATGGTCACACACATCACTTAAGGATCAGACTAGTTGTTGCATTATGGTGTCACTCTTCAGATGTTTGCATAGCAATTACTGTCATTGACATCAGGTAGGCTGATGGGGAGGTGTGAGAGAGAACAGGACTGGTGGAGTGTCCTGATTTCAGCTGGGATAGAGTTAATTGTCTTCCTAGTAGCTGGTATAGTGCTATGTTTTTGAGCTAGGTATAACAAGAACGTTGGTAACACTGATGTTTTCAGTTGTTGCTAAGTAATGTTTAGTCTAAAGTCAAGGATTTTTCAGCTTCTGATGCCCAGCCAGCAAGAAGGCTGGAGGGGCACAAGAAGTTGGGAGGGGACACAGCCAAGGCAGCTGACCCAAAGTGGCCAAAGGGGTATTCCATACCATGTGACGCAACATCTAGTATATAAACTGGGGGGGTGGGGCAGTGGGGATCACCGCTCAGGGGCTAACTGGGCATTGATCGGTGGGTGGTGAGCAATTGCACTGGGTATCATTTGTATATTCCAATCCTTCTATTATTACTGTTATCATTTTATTAGTGTTATCTTTATCATTATTAGTTTCTTCTTTTCTGTTCTATTAAACCGTTCTTATCTCAACCCGCGAGTTTTACTTTTTTTTCTGATTCTCTCCCCCATCCCACTGGGTTGGGGGGGAAGTGAGTGAGCGGCTGTGTGGTGCTTAGTTGCTGGTTGGAGTTAAACCATGACATGGAGGAATGCCAACCTTCCCTACACTTGTTGTCATCAGAGCTCTTCCCAAGTGTCAGGAGGCTCCTGGAAATTTGCCACATGAAGTTTTTAAAAGGGAACCCCCTCATTCCCTGCACTGGAGTTAAATGTCTTATGGAAACTTGGCATCTGGAACCAGGCAGCCTTCAGCAGTACATTGGGATCTTGGTAACCATGAGTAATATTTGCTGTAATGAGTATTGAGCAAATGTAGGCCTTATGATGGGGACAGCTATGCCTGTGTTCAGTCATCACTTGATGTGTTTCATACTCAAGTGTTACAACCCTATGCATGTGACGGGTTGTTGTTGTAGGACAGTCACTGAGGGAGCAACGGTGAGTGTGCTGGCTGGGTGGCTGGAGCTGAGGATGTCAGGTGAGTCCTGTGGTGGAAAGAACATCATGAGCTCTTATGGATGGGGGACAAGCTGTCTCTGTGTGGGTGACTGCAACAGCAGCATGAGAACTTTCCCTGTTTCAGGTCAGAAATTGTCTCCTTGTTCAGCTTGGACAGGAGACTCTAAGGACTTTGCTTCTCCCTTGTACACCTGTTCCCTAGCCAAGAGGGACAACGAAAAGTCATGCTCCCATAGCTACTCCAGTTTTGGTGGGATGCTCAGCTCTCATGGGCGGAGCGCAGGGATTAAGCC